AGGAGGGCGCTGCTGTTGAATAAGTAGCGAAATGAGGATTACTAAAAACGTAAAATCTCCCCACTAAAGGGATTATAATTTATAATAACTCAGAAAAAGCAATAGGAATTATAAAAGACTTACTTACACCTTCCTGTTTCTAAGCAAGGGTTATTAATACCTTCCTAAAATTCTTCTTCTAAAGCTCTTGGTCGTACTGTACAGACAGCCAAAGATACCCGAAACGTCATATCTCTCTTATCAACTTTGAGCTTTAATGCGCTTGAAACAAGAAATACAATGGATTCATTTTTGTTGAGTCTTGTGGTAACTTGATGCATAGATGACTATACATATTTTGGAGCCAAACAATGTCTTTAAAGAGTCGAAGAGTCAGGACTGTATTTAAAGAAGGGCAGGAGGGGGCTGTGTCACACAGCAGAGATAAAAAACACACATTTCGACGGGTCACCAAACCAGGGGTGGGGCCAACCAAAGTTTAGCAGGTTACGTTGTAAAAGAATTTTAAAATACACAGAATGGAAATTTTACCATTTCCATTATATTTATTTCATATCAATGTTTATCATTTTAGGTGGTAGGCAGGTCAATCAAATTAAACAAGGAAAAGTCAATTGTGTAATAGCTATTTATGATATTCATGCAGTAAGTTGGTTATTACAAGCGTGTCGACGAATGTTTGTAATACCAATCCGCATGAATGTCATATAACGTTTTTCAAAACATTCGCGAAAAAACATTGTACATAAATTAAGTAATGAAGATATTTCCTAACAAGAAAATGGCGCGCATTTCCAAATGGCGCCACGTGCTGGTGGTAAAAATTGGAACTACATCGTCTCTTTTTCTTTTTAGTATTAAAGTGAGACATAGGCATAAACTAAAAGCGCTTCCGATGAGGTTCGATCGAAATAGAATAGATAGATAAATCGAAAGAGAATAAATACACGGTTCCATGCGTAAGGAATTTTATATCATAATCTATCACATTACACACGCGTGCGGTAATGTAAAGAAAACGCACGGCTTATTATGTTCCGTCTAAAAACGAACGATACTTTTTTAAATCTTAGCAAAGAGTTTTATGTCAGAAAGGTAGCCAACATTTTCTTAATAAAATTAACTTTGGGAGATAAAATATAATATATAAACATTATATTCTTTAATTTGATTCGTTTTGACAATAAATTACAACCATGTATCATTAACAAATTCACAAAAATATTAATTTACTTTATTAGTAACACTGGCTGTTTTTTGTTCCTTTGCCTAAAAAAAGCGTTGATGGGCGCGCATCCCTAATCTGTGAAAAAGTTATTTCTTTTTCTTTTCGCTGTATGTTTTTTTTTATTTGAAAATATTGTGAAGTAGTAACGAATTTATTCATTTGACACCGCCACAAGTCGAAAAAGTCTACGCTAAGCCTCTTGTCCGAAAACAAACAAAGGTGCAAATTCATTTTCAGAAAGTACGTACGTAGGTAGTATTATATCCTCGCAAATGTGTTATGAAACGTCGTATGACATACGTGCGGTTTGATACTGTAATTATCAACCTCTGCCTTCTTATAGCCCTCACCTACGGCTCGGGCTAACAATATCGCCTCGGCAGTAATTCTCAACTTACCGCACTTATATCATAATGTACTTATTACCACACGCTCCGCTGTGTGGCCCGCGATTTTGAATTTTCGAACAATGTGATGAAAATATCTTTTAAAAGAAGAAGGAATACCGCCTACCCCTTTGGTAAGTATGCTACTTTAGGTATATATAAATCAACGGGAAAGATAAGGCCCACTTGCACCAAATTTCTGATATAAATTTAAAAGCTGATTTTTATTTTTTGCGTTCCATCACTTTTTGACTATAAGCAATTGACAAAGATGGAATTATGTCACAAACAGGATTAAGCCTTAATTAAAATTATTATTCAGATATTTTAATAATTTCATTCATACAAAGCGTAGGCAACATATAACAACTATTTGGCTCCAAAACCTTCAAATATCTCGGTGTATACATCTTGGGTGTATTCCGAATCAAACACCAGTACGCTGGCCAGTGGTAATGACGTCATGATTTCGACGCCATATTGACAACACTACTACTACACCAGTGCAATATGGCGTCATAATCATGACGTCATTACCACTGGCCAGCGTACTGGTTTATATTTCGGAATACACCCCTTATTTCTAAGTGTTAATGAATGAACCAAACTTAATAAATTATGTATACCAATTACACTTCACTCTTAAAAATTTCAAACGTTTGTTAATAATTACAATATAAAAAGTTATTTCTTTGCTTATGATAAAATTTACAAACATCTCATCTCTTTCTTTCAAGCTAGTGAAATATTATATATGAATGAGGTAAAATGCAACATTTAACTGGTTTTGTGCATCGTGATCATCATCATTAGTCTATTAGTGTCCCCACTGCTGGGGCACAGGCCTACCCTACGGATAGAATAGGGAGATTGTGCATCGATTTACTCGTAAAATCTTGTAACAGATAACAAGAAAAGGACAGGTGCTTCAATTATTTTATTATTGCATTATTTATTTTTATTATTTTATTGGATGTGTTGCATGAAAACCGAAATTCTGGTGGAAATGCATAGAGGCCAAAGAAGGATGCCACTACGGTAAAATTAGGTGATCACCTGCTCCCGCCATTTTTCTAATCAAAGTTTTTGATAAATTATTTATAGTTAGTCGAAATGAAAGTAAGCTTTCACCATCACATTGTTTTAAACATAGTCCGAAATACGCTAGTTTATTTATTGAAATTTAAGCTTAAATGAGATTACGTTATGTGATGTAAAACAAATTTCGTAACATACTGGGCATTTAGTCGTAATTCTAACAATACATTCTTATATGTAATTTATCTATAAACCAAATGGCTTTTTGGCAGTTGTAACAATAAATATTATAACTTGTTGTATTCCAAATACATTTTTTTTTCTTATGTAAGTACTCACATTAAGTACCAATCTAGTACGAAATACAAACAGATGTTGGACAGGCTTTTTAAGCCAAAACGATCTTTAAGACAACACATTTAAGGCCTAAAGCTGTACAGTGTACAGTTAAGTTCGCATGCTCGCTTATATTTAAAGTAACAATGAGTTATCACATTATATGGTTTAAATTTTATTGCAAGGTAATAAGAGTTATATGACATTGGCGGAATTAATACCAAAATATGAAATTAATATAATATTCATAAAATTCTATTTCAACATTGTGACTATAAAAGGGTATTTGATAAGTTTTAGAAAATGATCTCACGTTATTGACTAATGTTTATGGAGTCCGTAAAAAGTGGATATTCATCATTCTGTTGTGTATTTCAGTAAATTAAACCAAATCAGAACTCCATTTTCAAGTTGCCGCGAAAACGTTTCTCTGGACAATATGGCGTCTTACTAGTGAGTGAAGTCACACGACTGTTATTAAAACGTCAAACGATACAATGAAATATCACTTTAACCGGAAGTTTACTTGCGTGTGACGTCATTTTAGGCTCCACCAATCCCAATCGTTTTGGGTCACGTGACAAAAGATAAGAAAACTATTATCTTTTTCGTTAGTTTTTAGTAAAATTATGAATATGTCTGCCAATATTCATTCTAAACACAGATGCTAACAATTTTAATTTATAATTTCTATTTTTAATTCTCAGTTTTAAATTTTTTTTTTCTCAATATTAAGTCTCCGTATTAAGAAAATCAGACGTAAGACAATCTGCCTCTCTCGTACGTTACTTAAGATAGCATATGCGAGAGGGACAGAATGTCTTACATCGTCATTTGCGATTCCTTTCTTTAATGACACGAGTTATGTATTTTGTATGTCACCGTTATGACCTTTGGAATAAAGCTGTTTATCATAAAAACCTTTATAGCCATAGCCATTTAATCAAATAACTCAGACCTTTGAACCATAGGTTTTTAAATGTGATTAAAGTTAATACTCTCTTGCTTCGTGTTGAAATTAGAATAAGATGGCACAGTGATATCTTGCATTTTAAATTTTTTAAATTTACGGTCTTATTAAAAAAACGTTAAGACACTGTTTTAAACCATGTTTAGGAAAATTTCAAATGACATTTCGTCGTTACGACTTCAAGACCTCCTTTGAACCATAGGCTTTTAAATGTGATTAAAGTTAATACTCTCTTGCTTCGTGTTGAAATTAGAATAAGATGGCACACTGATATCTTGCATTTTAAATTTTTTAAATTTACGGTCTTATTAAAAAAACGTTAGACACTGTTTTAAACCATGTTTAGGAAAATTTCAAATGACATTTCGTCGTTGCGACTTCAAGACCTCCTATGTGTCATTTTTGTCGAAATACCTTTTTTATACGGGTTTATTTCAAATTTTGGCGCAATATCGAAAGCAAGAACTCTCATGTGAATAAGGCTTTTCAATTTCTGTTTATTTACTTTATTCAATATGATATCTTGCATTTCACTTTTTTTAAATTTACGGTCTTATTAAAAAAACGTTAGACACTGTTTTAAGCCATGGTTAGGAAATTTTCAAATGATATTTGTTCTTAAGCTCGCGTTGGACGCAGGTATAACTTTTGTGGTAATAGGGATAAATTTTGAAATCTCTTGTATTATTTTTTTAATTTGCATTCTCGGCCAATGTGCCCCTTCAAGAGCTCTTCTGCATTTGATGTGGACTTGGTATTTTGCATTTCATGTATTTAAACGTTAATTCAACCTTGTCTACGATTGATCATGTTTCGAAAGCAATGTTAACTCTTATTCCCATGCAATAAAGTTGTTTATCACAAGATTTGTTTTTAAATCTCTTATTCGGCCAGTGTGCACAAACATAGTCCTTAAGACCAATACGATAATACCTTTCTGCATTTGTAATGTACCCGGTATTTTGCGTTTTATTTACAAATACAGTATAATTTTTTCACTCTTATTCCCTTGCAATAAAGGTGTTTATCACAAGATCTATCATTAATTTGCCTTCTCGGCCAGTGTGCCCTTACAAACGTATCCCTTTAAGGCCAAAACTCCTCGGCATTTGATATGGACCTGGTATCTCGCGCACCAGTCCAGGTTGTTACATCCTATGCCGGCATCAGATAGAGTCTTCACAGCGGCGGTCGATAGAAGATCTAGAGAAAAAAGAATTATTCGAATTGTATATAAAGTTAAAGTTGGTAAATATGACATTATTATAATAAATATTGACATCGTAACAATATTAGGTATAATATTTTGTGAATATTGTTATGTCGCAACGCGTAACCCACAACAAGACGTTATCTACACTGATAGTTAGATGTCGCTCGTGACAGCATTCAGCCTGTCACTTGTCAAACTCCCGAAACGTCAATTTCAATGTCGCTCGTGAGCACACTCAGCCTGTCAGTTGTCAAACTCACAATACGTCAATGTTATTGTTACGTCGGGGCGGGGGTACGTCGATTAGTCAGTTCGGTTAGCGCGTGCAAGCTAGAGTGTTCTCACGAAAGACATCCGTTCCCATCCAATCAATCTGCGAATATTTGTGATTAGTAAAGTTATTAAATCATTAAAGAAGATATTGATTAGCTGTCTGTGGTGTTATTTCGTGTCTCAACAAAATGAACGAAGAAAATGGTGTATCTGGTGATCGCAACCTTATGGGTTCGCCGTCAGTTATATAATTATTTGACGCTGTGAAGTTCTTTTTGCCAGTTTTCTCCACAGCTAAACTAATGTCCATAACTGGTGGTAGAGAAAAAATATGGACCACGCAGCACACCGCCAAGTTGATCTGCGCTATGATGGGGGGGGCGGACCAGCACACACAGGGGGCGGGGTCACTGACCGGGCGGGTCGGCGTGCGTGAGCAGCTGCACGTCGTGCGCGCGGCAGAAGCGGTGCAGCGCGGGCGGCACCACGCAGCACACCGCCAGGTTGATCTGCGCTATGATGGGGGGGGGACCGGCACACACAGGGGGCGGGGTCACTGACCGGGCGGGTCGGCGTGCGTGAGTAGCTGCACGTCGTGCGCGCGGCAGAAGCGGTGCAGCGCGGGCGGCACCACGCAGCACACCGCCAGGTTGATCTGCGCTATGATGGGGGGGGGGGGGGGGGCGGACCGGCACACACAGGGGGCGGGGTCACTGACCGGGCGGGTCGGCGTGCGTGAGTAGCTGCACGTCGTGCGCGCGGCAGAAGCGGTGCAGCGCGGGCGGCACCACGCAGCACACCGCCAGGTTGATCTGCGCTATGATGGGGGGGGGGGGGGGGGCGGCCCGGCACACACGGGGGGCGGGGTCACTGACCGGGCGGGTCGGCGTGCGTGAGTAGCTGCACGTCGTGCGCGCGGCAGAAGCGGTGCAGCGCGGGCGGCACCACGCAGCACACCGCCAGGTTGATCTGCGCTATGATGGGGGGGGGGGGGGGGGCGGACCGGCACACACGGGGGGCGGGGTCACTGACCGGGCGGGTCGGCGTGCGTGAGAAGCTGCACGTCGTGCGCGCGGCAGAAGCGGTGCAGCACACCGCCAGGTTGATCTGCGCTATGATGGGGGGGGGGGGGGGGCGGACCGGCACACACAGGGGGCGGGGTCACTGACCGGGCGGGTCGGCGTGCGTGAGAAGCTGCACGTCGTGCGCGCGGCAGAAGCGGTGCAGCGCGGGCGGCACCACGCAGCACACCGCCAGGTTGATCTGCGCTATGATGGGGGGGGGGGGGGGCGGACCGGCACACACAGGGGGCGGGGTCACTGACCGGGCGGGTCGGCGTGCGTGAGAAGCTGCACGTCGTGCGCGCGGCAGAAGCGGTGCAGCGCGGGCGGCACCACGCAGCACACCGCCAGGTTGATCTGCGCTATGATGGGGGGGGGGGGGGGCGGACCGGTACACACAGGGGGCGGGGTCACTGACCGGGCGGGTCGGCGTGCGTGAGCAGCTGCACGTCGTGCGCGCGGCAGAAGCGGTGCAGCGCGGGCGGCACCACGCAGCACACCGCCAGGTTGATCTGCGCTATGATGGGGGGGGGGACCAGCACACACAGGGGGCGGGGTCACTGACCGGGCGGGTCGGCGTGCGTGAGCAGCTGCACGTCGTGCGCGCGGCAGAAGCGGTGCAGCGCGGGCGGCACCACGCAGCACACCGCCAGGTTGATCTGCGCTATGATGGGGGGGGGGGGGGGGGGACCAGCACACACAGGGGGCGGGGTCACTGACCGGGCGGGTCGGCGTGCGTGAGCAGCTGCACGTCGTGCGCGCGGCAGAAGCGGTGCAGCGCGGGCGGCACCACGCAGCACACCGCCAGGTTGATCTGCGCTATGGCGGGCCGGACGGACGACGACGCGTGTAAGCGGCGAAGGCAGCCGCTGCCGATGTCGGCCACGCCTAGGAGGCGGACGCGGCCTGTACGGAAGAAAATGGAAAGAAAAATCTGAATTTGACGATTCTTCGCTTGTTGATGAATTTGGATGTCGCATTTTTAACGAACGATTGAATGCTTGATTAATACCACCAAAACTTTCATAGAAACACTTTATACTGAGAGAAACGTTCCATTCATGAGTACACTTCTTGACCTGACTACGCAATCTCTTTTTTTTTGTTATTATTTATAGTTTGTATCTATTTATATATTATATTTGTGGGGACGTTTTCCACATTAAATGATATATGATAGAATATGATATAAAATGCTAGAAACTGATAATTGATAATGTTATTACGGAATGATAAAGAAACAACCGATTGATAGTAATGCGTGTAATGCACTGTTCGATACGTGTTGCGCGTACATCATCATGAAAAGTAGAACGCTAAATTAACAAAATAAAATATAAAGTAAATTACGAAATATGTACGTTTCACCGTACAATATTTATTGTATTTTATGTATGTTTATATGTATTTTATTTGTGTAATATATATATATGTATATATTATTTATGTACTTTATTTGTGTAGTTTATGTAGGTGTAACAAATTTCGTATAAAATATAATTTTATTTTAATCGCTGTTATTTTCTAAACGTTTTATTATATAGCATTTTTCCCTATCGCCATACCATTTGTCTCTAACACTTGTTCAGGTTGACTGGTAGTGAATGCCTACGGCATTAAGTCCGCCGTTTGCATATGTATGGCAATGAAATTTAAATAAATAAAAAAAAAGTACTTAAAATAGATACGACACGGTCGGTTTTTCTACAATTTAAATCAAATGCGTCGTCTACTTAAATTTATAGTTTTTGTGGTTAATACATATACAGTCGTGGTCAACTAATTAGGGACAATCTCTAGTTAAGCCAAATTGTGATTTTTTTTTTCAACGAGTTTTAAAATATTCCATATCTTTTACATGTAAGTATAATTAGTCATTGATGTGCCCGATTATACAAACAATAACAATTTCTTAAACATTAAACCTCTTTACAGTATAGCTGATAGATTATCATAGTGCTATTTGTTCAAATAATGCTGGCTGGCCATTTAATTAGGGACAATGAGATATTGCGTTCTATTTTCAAAATTTGAATCTCAATACTTTTTTACTTCTTCTCTTATTGTTTCGTGGTAGTTTTGGCGGCAATCCCGATTCTTATTTTGAGGTTTGAAAAATATTTTGAAGAAAAATGGACAAAAATAAAAGTTGCGATCCAACACTACGAAAAATTATCATGAAGTTTGTTGTCGAGCATGGTTGGCCATGCAGAAGAATAGCAGAACATTTAAATTGTTCAAAAACAATGGTATAAAATGCAGTGCAACATGTCAGACGCAATAACACAGCTTTAAATGTGCCGAACGAAAAGATCGAGAAAAACAACTCCGCAAGAAGATAGAATGATAACCAGGTTAGCTAAGAAAGATCGGTTTCTAGGCTCTATTTTAATTAAACACGAAGTGTTTGGGGCAGACGAAAGAGCTGGTGTCTCAGCGAGGACCGTTCGACGACGTCTGGTAGAAGCAGGGTTGTTCGGAAGAGTGGCTCGCAAAGTACCGTTGTTAAAGAAAGAACATAGAAATGCTCGTTTGGCGTTTTCACGTAAATATGGACATTGGACCTACGCCCAATGGCAACATATATTATTCTCTGACGAGACCAAGGTTAATTTGATTTCTTCAGATGGAAGGCAATACGTACGGCGTCCAGTAAAAGCGGAAATGAATCCAAGATTCACAAAAATGCAGGTGAAACATGGCGGTGGAAACATTAAAATGTGGGGTTCATTTTCTGGACGTGGAGTGGGACCTGTGAGGAAAGTTCAGGGTAACTTAGACCAACATCAATACAAGGCAATATTGGAGGATACGATGCTTCCCTATGCTGAGGAGCATCTCCCTATTATATGGACGTTTCAGCGTGATAACGACCCGAAACATACCGCTCGTTCAGTCAAGTCGTTTCTTACCAGTCAGTCAGTATCGGTGCTAGATTGGCCAGCAAATAGCCCGGACCTTAACCCAATCGAGCACCTTTGGCACGAAATCAAGAAAAAAGTTGCCACTTATCGTACCACAACTTTAAATGAACTTAATGAAGCTTTTTGTGTGGCATGGGCAAACATTCCTGTCGAAATATGCCAGAAACTGATAATGTCTATGCCACATCGTTATCAAGCGGTAATTACTAACAAAGGTTTTGCTACTGGGTACTGATTTTACACGTAACAAAATGGAGCTGTTAAAGATTATTAGTTTTGTTTAACTCTATTTTTCATTATAGTTTACTGTCCATAATTAAATGTCCAGCTACAGAATTATACCTTAAAATTGAATACATGTTCAACCTTTGATATTAAATACTTTTTTCTATTTATTTATTCTTTTATTTACAGCCATTTATAGCATAATAATCAGACCAAATTATGCAAATAATAGGTGCTGAGAAATGAATAGGGTTTTATATTTATATGTACATAACCGGTTATTGCTGTTCACTATCTTGAAAGTCCCTAATTAGTTGAACACGACTGTATATATATATAGATATGAATAAAAATCAACTAGAAACTGACCTTGTTTCACATAGTCTTCCAGAACGGACCACAGCACTATGATCCCGGGCAGGATAGCTTCACACTTCCTCGCGTCCGCATCGCTGTCAGCATCTGTCTCTGTGGAAGAAAAACGACCTGATCAATCATCATCAGCTAATTAATATCCCCACTGCTGGGGCACAGGCCTTCCCTATGGATGGAATAGAAAGAAAGGCCGTGAACCACCACTCGAGTACTTATTAGACAGCAGATGCAGCCGGGACCAACAGGCTTAAAACTTTAGATGCAGCCGGGACTAACGGGCTAAAGACTTCAGATGCAGCCGGGACCAACGGGCTAATGACTTCAGATGCAGCCGGGACCAACGGGCTAAAGACTTCAGATGCAGCCGGGACCAACGGGCTAAAGACTTCAGATGCAGCCGGGACCAACGGCTAAAGACTTCAGATGCAGCCGGAACCAACGACTTAACGTGGCTACAGTAGCGAGGAAGAGTTCAAGATAATACATTTTGGTCGCCCATCTTATGAGCGGAGCGGAGCAATCAATAGCAAACCTGCTATTTACAATAACTAGCAAACCAGTGAACCAAATGTTCACCAAAACCTGATTTAAAAAAAAATGTATTTAATTAATTGAGAACTTCGGAGATTTTGTGTGGTTTCGTTTGAAATTCGTGATTTTTCGCAAACCGGAAGTGCTACGTTACTCAAATCCGCTTTGTAGTCTTATCAGACTATTCTTAACTTATAACTTAAATAATCTCTTTATCTATCTCTTACGGTTTGGCCGCTGGAACAGCACCACAGACAGACGGACGGACGGACTTGTCTAACAGATAAGAGATATTTGTAGCCATGGCGGTTTCAAACACTAAGCGCACTACACAGCCGCGACCACGGCTCGTCGTGGTCGTAACCTTGGTCGTAGAAGATTCAGCGGGCTTGCGGCCAAGTTTGCGGCGGGTTGTTTTTTTTGTTTCATATTAATAAATAACCTAATCTATCATGTTTTATAGTTATAGATACGTCATACACGGTTCTTATTTGGCAATACGAAAGTCAGGTCAGCAATATTAAAAAAAAAAATATTTTTAAAACAAAAAGCCCTGTGTGTTTTTAGATAGAACACAAATTACAAGGGAACTATTAGAGACAACAAAAAAGTGTCATTTCATTTGTAAGTTCAGTTTTAAAGAAATTAAAGTTATTACTTTTTTTGACAGTTGCTGACGCCGTTGACACGTGGAGATTAAAGAGCGAGATGTCATCTGCTTTATGCATGAGAGTGAAAGAGACTACTTTAGTACACTCTATTGGCGGCTGTTGGCAAGGGAAGTTGGGGCGGGGACTACTTGTGCCAATTTAAAATGCAATAATGTTGGCGTATATATTATACGTCATTGTAAATAACTCTGTATCAAAATTTATTGGGGTCAAACATCAGTTGCGATACGATACGAAGCGTGTTCACTCACGAACAGTCCACATGACACTGAGAATGGCTCGTCGCGGCTTGGCCGCATACACGGTCGCAGATCTAGTGCGCCAATCATCATCAGCCTATTAATGTCCCTACTGCTATGATTGGAATAGCAACTTTTTTTGTCCCACATTGTAAGAATACAACGTCGTGTATAGTTTAATAACTATTACACTAGATTAAATACCAATTTTAGCTAATATTAATACCATAAGTAAGTTTTTTGTGGTCAATTAGGGAGTGTCTTTAATTATGTGACCAGTGGCGGGGCAAGACCTAAATTTGATGTGGGCAAGACAGATTTCGCGAGGCCCTGTTCTGTGGCGACCTGAAGACGGATTTTATAAAATAATAAAAAAAAGAAATTCGCTTTTAAGCAATGCATAAAAATTTTTGGGGCGCGCGGCCCCTTGTACCGCGAGGCCGTAGGCGGTGGCCCACGTCGCCCACGCCTTACGCCGCCTCTGTATGTGACTAACACTGTATATGTAAGTTCTTTGCAACGACTAAGTAGTCTTGCAAGACCGGTGTTCGGTCAGTTGACAGATTCATTTGGTTTCTTTAGTTAATCTGGTCGTTGCGGCCACTGGTCGTGGTCGCGGCCGTCTAGTGCGCGAGCTACTTAAGAGAGTTACTCACCAATGTTGCTACCGAGAGATATAGGCGATGCTTTTGTCGAGTAGTTGTTCTTAAGATTAGTGTCATCTGCGTCTTCCCGGTGCAGAATGTCCGGGTTGTATGACAGTATCACGTTGTCGATATATTCAGTATGCAGAGCAGCGAACACTGTAAGAAATTAATTGAAATAATGTCGCTAGAGCTACGTAATTGAAGATCAGCGGAATACACAAAATCCATCTTTAGTCTTAAGCCGGGTCTCCAGCGCTTGTTCTGCCCGACACAATCAACAAAAACATATCAATATTCAACAAAACCGTCTACACAGAACTTTGTTTCACTTTTTTTTAGTGTGTATGCTGTTGGTCGCAGATGACCTTTACAGCGTCACTGGGTTTGGAGACGGCGAGATCCTAAGGGGACCTCAAGCCGAGAATTGACGAGTACCTCTAGAGGTATTCCAGGCGGATGGCATCTCCCCACGGGGAGTCTCCACTCCGTCTGGAGCCTTTGTTTCACAACACATATTTGTTTGCATCAACAAAGGATTTGCTTTCAGAGCCCGATATGGAAAACACATACACAAATCACCCTTGCGGGGGTTGAGGGGCAGGGTATTGCTTCACCGGCCATTTTTTAAACCACTCGCTAGCAGCTGCGTTCCAAACCCACGCTCAGAGTGCAGCTTTTCACTCTGACGTTTGAATTTTGTAATAGAAGGTATGATCTTTTTTGTTAAATTTGACGTTTCTTGCACCTGGATCGTAGGTTTGGAACGCAGCCCTGTGTAACTTTGAGTACGATAGCCACGTGAGCAGTAGACTGCGTGTGTTAAGAAACATGTTTCTGAAACAAAGTTTTGTGTATGTGTTTTTGTTGAATGTTTTCAATTTTGGCTGGCTTAAGTCCTACATTCATATTATCCGTTTATAGTTTTACGTGCGTGATAAATTTTATATTATATTTCATTAAATACATTTATCTTAGCTATAAAACATTGATTTAATCTTATCTCAGGAATATCTCTGAAGGCGTAATACATCTAAAGATAAGGACGATTTGATATTAAGTATACTAATCTATCGCGTAGAGCGCTCAAATATCGTAACAATATCTATTGTAGATTATATCTGGAGCATAGCAAAAGATAGAAACTAAATTTGCGATTTATACCACCCAGGTGGCAAACAAACATATGAACCGCCTGATGATAAGCGATATAAGCGATATCGTAGCTTATGGACGCTTGTAATATCGGAAGTTATCTCTCAATCATTGCCGACCTTTAAAATCCAAGCTAATAAAATATAAACTAAATAATAGTAACCTGTTATAATGACAACAGTCCCTGAATCGTGAAAAAAATTACCGCCGAAGAATTGTCACGGACTCAACGCATACGTATGCGAACAAGTAAATATATTCTTAGATTACGTTGTGTTGTCATGAACATGAAGTTTAAGAAAAAGGGAAGACGTTTTAAAGGAGAATCTCCAGTCCATCTCTTTAAATCGGATCTAGCGCGCAACGCGGCCTAAAGTTCCCTGTGTGTTTTGCTGCGCCTAGACATAAGAATTCAATTTCTTTTTGGGGACTCCCGCGCACTTGCGTCCTGTCCAGACTTTTTGTACGCGGACTTTTAACTCCTCATGTACGTTACTCGAGTCAGTTGTAAGCGATCTATTTTGGCGGACAAAAAAAGGTCCGTGGACTATAGTCCTTCGTTTCCGCAGACCACAATGCAAATGGATTAATGCGAGAAACAGTGCAATAAAAAGACCGTATAAAAATATGAAACGCGCTTCATATTCATGACTTGCATTTCCCTAGTTGAATTTCTCTTACCATTTTCCAAACACTCCGTCAGTAAACTAGTGCTGTCTTCATTGATGAATATCTTAACGCCTATCTTCAAGTTCTTCCGTTCTTCCTCCGCCATTTTGTTCAGTACATCGTCATGGGGCCTGGTTATATTTACAACCGCTTGCTCGGGCGCTTTCGATGTCGATACCACCTTGTAGTCGGATTGCTGTCTCGACGTCTGCGGTTCGTCACCATCCTGTGTATCGACGCCATTTTGTGCATGTCTAGGTAGGCCATTTTGTGAACCCCATTCCGTCAACGTCAGCTTAATACTCTCCGAAAGCTGGAAATTTATAGTGTTATTTTAGAATGGTGAATTATGGCCCCAATGGTGTCGTTTTATAGAAAATCAAACAAGAATTATAAAGATTTATAACAATTCCTGACATATAATATTTTTTTTATAGCCAGGTAGGCAAATGAATCTACCCCACCTGATGTTAAGTGGTGATAAAGTCCAAACGCAATAATAGCTGGTACGACAGTTTAGCCACACCAACCATCCCCACCTTAGCGGCCTGCAAAAATGGTTCATCACGCCTCTCTTAAAGGACCCCAGATTGTAGGAAGGGGGAACACGTGCGAGTCACCAAATTTCGTTGTTCGTGTAGTAATAGTGACCACAGTATATTGTACAGTAGCCACAAGGAGATTGAAAGACATTTGTGAAGCTATTAGTGCAGTACATTGATTATAAACACGCATAGATAAAGCAATCCAAATAAACCACACAAAGAAAATGGCTCATGTTACGCGCAATTTGTGCGTGACCCTTTTTAAAGCAGTTAATGTGTGCGTGTGTAGCGACGAGCATATCTACCATACGTAGTAGATTTTTTTTAGGCGCTTCCGTGTGTATATATAATCCCCCATTAACTGACTGGTACAATGTACGAAAGTGGGATATGATCAAACAAAGACAAAGGGACTTAATTTATGTAGAAGCAACATGAAACATATTTAAGAAATTGTTGTTACTGAAAACGGTAAACAGTATATATAGTAATATCTTTCTTGATATGAACTACTAGCTGTCCCGGTGACCTTCGTACCGCCCAAAAGTTATAATTTTCAATAAAATATAGTTTGTTTTATCTCTTTTTGAGTACGAATGAACAAATCCACACATATTCCGTGTCTGTTGCAGGGTGGGGACTGTGTCCATAAAAAATCCCCCATGGTCCTTTAAAATTAAAAGTCAAATACCTTTATTCAAATAGGATGCATAGTACAAGTACAACTCTTTTGAATCGTCGAATCGTCGAATGACATAATTAATTTTTCAATGCATTCAATTATACGAGCCAATGACCCGCATATTCAATGAAGCGCGACAGTTTTATAATTACGAAAGGAATCATTTATGTTTTATTAGTCTGAGAGTAAAATGTTTAAAGGCTTTATCTCGAATGATTAACTAGTATCTTAATGAAGGTATGCTATCATTTTATTCGTTACATAAGTACACACATTAAAAATAGTTTGAGATCACTTACAAAAGCTGATATATTTTCAAAATTTAACTTAATCAAGAGAAAATGTTTACGTTGCATCTTTTTTTAATTAAAAATACACTTTCTGTATTTTTTAGAATAACCAATTTAATAATTCAATCCAAAGGCGATTGTAACAGAACTTTGATAGAAATAAAAAGATAGTTTAACCAAACTTAAACCTTTTATTAATAAATTGTTGTTTATCTAATACAAAATATCTCCTCTGGCTCGTACACATGCGGAGATCCTCCTCGGCATGCTGAGGATCAAGTTATCCAGCATTTCTTGTGGTAACCTGTCCCATTCTTGAACATCAGCTTCCCTGAGCTACGGCACTGTCTGGGATGGTGGCTGCCAGTTCCAAACAGCTCGCTTAAGAGCATCCCACGCGTGCTCTATTGGGTTTAAGTCAGGAGTCTAACCTTGTGATTTCGTATTATCGGAGAGCAGCATTGACTTGTTGAGCTCGATGTGCGGGCGCATTATCGTCAACCAGTACAAATTGGTGCCCATGGTTTACTCGGAAAGGTCTGACAATTCCATCTGTAGCGACTGTTTTGTATCTCTCTGTCGTCATGAAGTCTTGGCGATTAAAGGCGCCCCAATCATAATACCACCCCAAAAGGACACTGATTTCCCGCCTTGCTGAACCGTTCCAGTGGCCGTTCTTTGCCTTTCAGAGTCTCCAGGTCTTCTCCAAACACGGACTCGTCGGTTATCTGGATGAGTACTGATTCGCGATTAGTCAACGAAGAGGCAGTTTTGCCAAATGTTTTCCTCTTCGTCTTCATCGTTTTGCCGGAGCCTAGCCCACTGTAATCTCCGTCGCTGACATTCCCGTGAATTCAAAGATGCTCGACTAGACCTCCGTGCTCGTATTCCAGCCTTGTGTAAGCAATTCCGAAAGGTCTGAGAGCTAACTTCAAGTCCGGAGGTGGCCCGTATTTCAGCTTTTAATTTAGTGGCGTTTATTGTTGGGTCGCGGGCTACCAGCAACCTGATGTAGCACTTCTGAGCAACTGTCAAAACAGTTGGGCGACCGCTGCGGGGTCGATTAGCTAAACTATCCATGCCGTGGTACCTCTGCAACGTGGTTACTACACAGAATTGGGATATGGCAACTCTGCTTGCTATTTCTCTCGTAGAATAGCCTTCTTCCCTCAAAGTTACAATTCTGGCTCGTAAAACTTCTGATAATCGTCGTAACATTTTTTAAATCAAACAATTTTCCGTGAAAAAATATTTTAAATTCGATAATATTAACTAAGCCAGATTTCTGAATGAGTGTCAGCTTGGCTTGCATGTCTTTTTATATGAAAAAACCATTGAATTATTTTATTGTTTTACGTTCTAATTCTAATCTTAAAATTTAGAATCTTATCAGAAAAAGAAATTACAATAAAGATTTCTGTAACACAAAAAACAATCTATTTTTCAAAGTGATTGCAAACTTTTTTTGATGTGTGTATGTCGCGGGATGATTTAAGAAATCGAATTTTCGCGGATATTCTAGCAATTTTGCGAAAACGCGCATAATTAGACAATGGCTATGACATTTCTCATTATTAAGAAGAGAAGATAGGATTTTTGCGAAATCGCGAATCGCCTCGATAAGACTGTGAAAGTAAGTGTTGGCTTATTATAATATTCTCGGGATTTTGGTTCTGCAAAAAGAAGACAAGAAGCGCCTCCGAGAGGCGGAACCACTCGCACGGCCAATACGGAGAAAGCGGGGTCGATGGTGGCGGGGCAATACCCGTATAGTCCAGGCACGAGGGTTGTCTGATGGCTGTACAAAAATTAGGTTCATAAGAGAAGATGATGCGCTGACGTGTCCCGCGGCGCGTTATCGAAGCGGTTGGGGAGAGTGCAACCTAGCTCCCTTTCCCGAAGTGGGTCTGCCTCACGTGGCAGGCAACTGGCACCGGCTAGCTATGCGTGCGCTTCGGTCCAACAGCGATGCCTACGGCCAGAGTTGAAGGGGCACGTGGGGGTTTTAATCGGTAGGCCTTTGCTTACCGACTAGGGGAAAGCTACTTTTCGTCTAGTGGGTAGGCAGTGGAGAGCCAGACATAACCCGCTCACCAGTTTTCAGTGAGCGGCTAGCGAAGCGCCAGAAAAAAAATCGTTAACAGTAATATTGAGAAATATCATCGCCATTGTCTAATTATCAGTGTTTTCGCATAAGCCCTAGGTTTTTCGCAAAAATTCGATTTATCAAATCATCTAGCGACAAGTACACGTTATTGTAAGTGCTGCTGAATCCAAATGAAAATGTACTTCGTACATTCAAAATGTTTTCTTTGTTGAAGATCTTATTTCAATCGAACGTTCGAAAGATTCCTGCAATCAGAGTCATGTTTACATAACATTTAATGTTGACCACCGCGAATCGTGAGCGTGAGTATGGTTTGTCCGATACGCTTCGATTTCGGCATTTCTTTATACCAAACCGTACCTAAGGTACGTACGGTATGGTACGGTAAGTAAGGGAACAAGCGGAACTCTTTTATTATGCCCCCGCTGTCTCTACGACTGTCATAAGGCTCTGTATACAGTACCATAAGCACGTACCAATATCGAATTCGAATACTTTGAGAGTCCGATTTGCCATTGTCAAATTTTGTATGGAAACTTGAACAGCAGCGCCATAACGGACGTAACGAGAACTAAAAATCTGTACAGACAATGACATTTCGGACTCTCAAACTATTTGAACGTTACTAATTTGATATTGGTTCGTGCTAAGGGTACTGTACCCCAGGCACGTACTTTGACGTATCGTCACGTCAAATTTTCTATGGAAGGAGCCAGTTGGTTCTTACGTCCAGTAGGGGCGCTGCTTAGGTTCCATAGAAACATTGACGGTCAGATACGATTACGTATCTGTCAAAGTGAGTCTGGGGAACTGTGCCCTTAGTACGAGTTTTACAATTACGAAAACTATGATAGTTTTCGTGAGCTCGCACTCGTACTAAGGGTAGTGATTTTATTGTTTTCGTTTGAATACAAATAAACAGTGTTTAAATTCTATCATAAAATCATTTGCGTCTTCTTAAATTTTAAGTATATTTGGATACTTTAAACCAAAATGGACATAGAAACATAATTTGCAATTACGAAAACTATGATAGCTAGTTTTCGTGAGCTCAAACTCGTACTAAGGGTACTGGTACTGAACGGAAATATGTAGACACTTGACATTTTGAAAAAACGTGACACTATGATGAACACATAATGATAAAGGGAGGGATCTTCATACAAAAAGCTTTTATATTATATAAATTGTGTAGTGAGTAAAAGTTATAAGGGAAATTTTTATTTTATTCTTTTAAGCGCATTTAAATAAAAGCTTGTATTTAAAAAGTTTTCTTTTTTATTTTATATGTACTAACTCATATTGTTTCAAACTTTCATGGTCACTAACATTATAGCTAGTAACGCTATCATAAAAGACAAGGTACATGGTAAAAATTCCGTTAATAGCTAAAGTGTACTATTTCACTATTGTATAATGTAGGTACGGAACTTGCCCCGCACATGGCAGCAAAAGTTAAATTTATTTTAATTCAAAATACGACATAAATGTCACAGGTGGTTAAATTAACATATTGCAGGTGTTTATATTTCAAGGACCATTCATTTTACTGTCAACAAGACAACTTAATAAAATAATACACATATGTAAAACATTTTATTGCTAAACAAAACAATGGAGTGATTTAAAAATTATCTCATCTATGCACAGTTATTGCAATATTTTAAGTGCTAGCAGACTCCATTAATTCAAAAAGATATGTAGTGGTCATTTTATCTCAAATCATATTTAATCTATTGTGTATGACATGACAACACTTACCACATCATTCATATAATAATTATGTATGATATTTAGGTTCTGTCAAAGAATTTGCATTTTAATACCTAAGTTTCTTGATAAGATAACATAAAATTTTTATATGGTAATACAATGAATTATTATATTATTTTCAATATCTTTAAATGATTTTTGAGGCAAGCATAAACTGCAAAATTGACTATTAAATTTATCTTCAATAATGGAAGCAACTCCCTGACCTCTTTTATCAGTGAACATGACAGTTTTTGATGCATTTAAGTAGCACTAACTCATATATTCTTCTGCTGTAAATCTGTATTTTTTCTGTTCAGGCTGATAAACAATGGGAATTCTGTATGATTACATTTTCTATGTCTTTTCTTAACTCTCCATTAGTTTTCTATTGGAGTATTAACTATGTTTAAAAGTCAGTTATTTATGAATGAGTCATATAAAACGTGTTAATTTTCAGAAGTTAAATACAAGAAGATCCAAATTACGTAAACCTAAACATTAAAAAACAATCAAGCTCTTTTTTGGGGAACTTTATTATTTATTTTATAACAAATTGTCACAAAATATTATTGGTCTATTTATTACTTATGTTTTTATAATTTAAATTGTTTTAAACATGTAACTGCTTGATGTTTAAATCTAAAGAAAATATTACTAGAAAAAATTCCATGTGGACCAGCCAGCAAATGGGATTTAAACCTGTACCCTTCGCTATTCGGGTGAATGCACTGACAATTAAGCTACTGCGGCCCTGATGGCCGGGTCGAATTCTTTCTAGCCTTTCTTTAGCTGCAAGGCAGCGCCAACTCTTCGCATTGTAGGTAACCCACAATACTTATGATTTCCCATGAAAACAAAGATTCCGTGGTGTGCGTACACCACTCACTAAATAAAACACTGTTTCAACAGATTTCAAATGCGCTTTTCAATACTTTAATACATATTAAATTAATACTGTTCTACAGAGCTACAAAAAACATAATTTTATGTGTCACTTCTGTGAAACGCTAATAAATTTCTTAAGCCAATCCTTTCTTTCTTTTTCGCTAAATGATCTGAATAGGTGGAAACAAAAATATTGGACGATTCAACAGAGCTTTCTTTATGTCATTAAATTGACAAAGTATATTTTCATTTCTTTTATAATTTACCCACATAGCAATGTGTTAATAAAACAAACATAAGTGAATAACTGTAACAAATTGAGACCTTCCAATTCAGTCAAGGCGTCAGTAATATTATTTTGTATGTAATGAGTAACTAACAGGTAATAATCTTTACATTGATATTTATAATTAATATTATGTGTTGATTTTACTAACCTCTTCAGTGACATTCTGGCCAGCCTTTTTCTTGATATCGATCAAATTCAACACGTTTCCAGTGTTTATTGTAACTTTTGAAGCACTCTTCAACATCGCGACCAACTAGATTCGTTTCAACTTAGTAGATAAATTGTGGCCTTCAATTTTGATAACACAAGGTTAGCGCGCACCGTCCAACCACTTCAGCTACAATAGAGGCAAAAACTTTTCGTAAACGAAACACTCAACTAGCGCCGACGGTCAATAATTGAATAAGAAGTTTCAGGGAAACGTCTTTTAAATACTTTATGTACTGATTATGGTTCGGTGCGGTGTGCAGTAGTTACGTGAATTTCTAATAATGACGAAATACAGAAAAACTGCTATGTCATTGTATCTATTTCCGAGTATGACTATGTGCTGACAAGGACAAGGTGGATTTTTAAACCTATACTTTTAATTTATGCACCGAAAACAGTTTGATGGATTGTAAAATATAGTAAGTAGGTATGTAAGTACTTGTGTGATATCCATGGCATGCCTGTCAATGAAGTATATAAATGAATGAGATGAGTATGAATGAAATTCTGACACACAGATACAGAGTACTCTCTTCCCTCATAATAATGCTAGCACTTCACAAGACTTCACTTCACTTGGCTATTTCAATGGATCCTATGTTTATGGGCCAAAGTAGCATTTTGTTCATTTTGGCTTTTTGGTGGTAAATGCTCTCTTTTAATGTAATAAATGATATTCATTGAAAATAACTCCAAATTTATTGCTACAAACACGTTTTTTTGATGCAGTAAAAGGGCTATTGTGTCACACTTTTAAACGTATAACAACCTAAACGGTAGTCCGACACTTATACGCGGGGAGTTACCGAAATTTACTTTGAATTATCGGCCAATCTGTCAGTAATACCGGGTTCACATGACACGATTTTAGTTGATCAACTGTTCCATCGCATGCGATTTGAACTGTCTGAACTATTGAACAAACTTTCAATCAAATTGAAGCAAATTAATTGAAGAAAAGTAATTTAACAATAAAAATAATCTATTGAAATCGCTTCGTGTGAACCTGGTAATGACATTAGTGTAAGCCAATTAGAAGTGAATAATATAAAACTAGTTTTTCACGGGTTAATGCACGAAACTTAATTTATTTATTGACATTTCGCAGCCTTTACAGCTTGGATCCAAAGGGGGGTCATGGGGGTCATGACCCCCCCTGGGCTGGGTCCATCTGTACCCACTCCACAATCTGTACCCACTATGACTTGACAGCGACTACATGACCCCCCCCCCCCCCCCTGGTACCAAAGCTGGATCCGCCCTTGATGTGACAACGGTCTTTCCTTTTTATTATTATAAAAAGCATGTTATGGATATACTGCTGTCAAATGTACAATTAACAGAATAAAAGCAGTCAATTGAAGTGCTGCCATAAGATCACAATTCAAAACGGTAGGTATTCCCGGGCTTGCAATGACGGTTTGTGGTGGGTGGTGTGTCCTTGGAATGGTCCTTGGGTCCATGTAGAATCCAATCCGTCAGTTTTAGGAATGGCGATACCATCCGAAAAATATTGATTTTCCAATCGATAGAAATCGTTACCTATACACCGCGAATAATCAGATTAGCAGGTAAGTTATCAGATTGTTCTTTATGGAAACTGTCACCCATATCCATTATTATACATAAAAGTACGACCTACATATAATACGACACTATGCTAACGCTGGTCCACATAAAAAAAAATGGGTGCGTGTACTTATGTAGGCGCGTGAGAAGTTATCCTTCTTTGGCATCGTTTAAAATTAGTTTTTAATTGCATGAAAATAATTAATTACAATAAATTAATAAAAAGTCTGGAAAAGGACACAGTCAATAAAGTTCAGTTTTAATTTGAAAAAATAAATAAATAATCAAAATATTCAATTAAAATCGCTACTGAATATAATTTATTAGAACATATGTGATTTGCACTTGTATGAAACTCAAACACGTATTCCGAATATACAAACTAGAAACATGTGGATAAATATTATAAATATGAATACCTATAACTGTTACTTTACTACAAAAAATAAAGATGTGGTTTTTGGTTCTACTACAGCAATGGTCAAGAGATGGCGCTGTAGTCTCCTGAATCGCGCTTTGGTTCCGTTGTTCCAGATTAATAAATACTTTTGATATTATAAATATGAATACCTATAACTGTTACTTTATTACAAAAAATAAAGATATGGTTTTTGGTTCTACTACACCAATGGTCAAGAGATGGCGCTGTAGTCTCCTGAATCGCGCATCGTTCCGTTGTTCCAGATTTATAAATACTTTTGATAGGCATCCACAATGCAGTCGTTAGCACCCACTAAATAGACATTCTATTTTGTTGGTAGATTTTCTTAATGTGCGGTAAACACAAAAGCTAAAGCGACCAACTTCATGCTGTTAAAATTTTGTGTTACAGTGATGCGCGCGCATCTTAAAATTTCACGCTCATCATTTTTTCATAACGCGCCTAAAGAAGTATAACTTCAAAAACTATAATGTAATACATCATTTTGTTCAAAGTAAGAAATTACCTACAGCAAAGCAATGAATAAGGTGTAAACTTTTGACGTGATACCGTCTTACATATTGATGAGCACCGGCTGCGCTCAAGAAAATGTGTGAAGTCGTAAGGTCGTTCACAACTGTATTCTGTAACTGTAAAGTTATGGTGAGAGTACTCAACCTTGTAGACAGCCTCTCGTAGCCAGTGCTCGCAGTTAATTCCCTCCTTGTAGTCTTATTTACCTGTTAGAGAGCAAATTACTCATCCACTGAACGATGGTCCAGTCCATGGACTTCTAAAACTGGTTTTGTTATATGCTTCTTCTATGTGTTTTAATGTGCCTAAGCATAGCTCCTTACATTCTAGGCTCTTCTACCGTGCTTACCACGGCGTGCATCCAGTGATTCTGTCGATTTACCTGGACTGTAGGCATCTTGATTTCGGTGAAGCGTTGATTTCGTCAGTTAATTGTCTCTCAGTCCTCTGTCGCATATCCTCTCTGAGAATTTTAGGAGGAATGAAGAGAAGCTAATTGATTTATTGGTACCAGATTACAGTGACTACGTACGGGGGCCAAAATCATTGGATTTTGGCTCCCGATAGTCACTCTAATCTGGTTATGGGGTACTTTGACATCGCTCCAGAGTTTGGATGTGTACTGATAGGCCAGGCAAGCTCTTAAAAGAGCGACCAGGATCTGTATCAGGTCATCTCCCGCCCACTGAAGAAGTGCCGGGAAGATTCCATCCGGTTTCGCAGCCTTGAAAGGTTGGAAGCTCTTTATTGCCCATTTTACTTTGTCCCATGATACTGTCTTGTTAGCTATGTGTGCGGTTGGTGTCCAAGTGCTTTACCCCCAGACATATGTTGACTTTATCACACAGCCCGGAAAGTGTGTCTCCAGGAGTAGTCTCTGTGCTTCTTTTGGCGCTTGGGCTCAAACGAACTGGAACAAAAAGCATCGTAAAACTGCTACGAGGAAAACAGCGAACGCCACGTTATCATGTGTAATTATCGTCCATCATCATAAATCAACTTTACAGACAACCAATATTTTTCTTAACTTCAATCACTACTCTCTTGATTTAAATTAATCAAAAACAGGTATATTTCAGAGTTATATGGTCAAAATAATTCAAGTGGTTTTGCTGGCCTACTGACTACATTCATTATCAAAAATATAAATAGTTTACCTGTCAACAATTCATAAACAACAACTTTGATCTACGTAATTAAAACGGATAATAATTCCATATAGTTATGTTGTATACAATTATGCGCAGTTGAAAGGTTATTTTGAATATGTTATAAATTAGTATTTTGCATGGCAGTGAAGTAATTTTACTTTGTATAACTGTTCTCATTATTTTTAATAATACAAATTTTAAGCTTCTTAGTTATTTAAAAATTCAGAGAGTTTTTCATTTTCTAAAAATACAAGATAGATACCATATTTAATAATATACGATTTGTTTATTATTAGTGAAACTAGGGACTAGTTCAGGGAATTCGATAATTACATTATTTTTATTTTATAACCATAGAAAATTATCAGGTATGACGACACTTCAACAATTATTAAATTGTAAATAATGTAATGGGTTTTACCCAAACATAATACATCAAATGTCGTTAATCTAGGGTGAAATAACTTCAGTCAGTTCAGAATTTCGTATTGACTTAAAATTTTGATAATTTACCCCAAATAATCATGATTTCATTATTTGATTTCAGACATACATACATCCCTAGTCAAATTGTCAAGCAAGATTGTCAGTCAACTGTCAAGTAGACAGCTGTGGAATGGAAAGGTCAGCTTGGTTTGTTGGTTAATTGCGTTAAGCTAAATTTTTCACATTGATTCAGATTATTTTTGAGTGCTCGCTCGATTGTGGTGTAGACCTAGTCGTATTTAGTTAAGTATTTGTCATCAAGAAATTGTGAAAAATGGGTGTTGATTTTCTGGGTTTTGCATACGCCGCTACCGTGGCCGCTGGTGGAATCATGGGTTATGCGAAAGCAGGTTGGTTATTAATTATTCTACTTTAAATGCTATCAACTTTTAGTTTAAGACAGCACTGATTATGAGAATTCTTCGTCACTTCGTCACAGGTTTCATATTTTTTGAGAGAATTTTTTGGTCCTTCTGGCAGATAACATTATATCAGCAACAAGTGCGATTTGCTTACATAAAATCAATCACTAATTACTGTTCTGTTCTGATATACTTATTTAAATGATTACAGCTTATAAAGTTTAGTTTTTAACCTTTGCTACCAATGAAGAATGTATCTTAATATTTTTGTTAATTTAAGACAATAAGTAATCATTTGCACTTCCTGTCCAGGATGTTTTAATCTTAGATGACAGTGGACTACTCTTTGTTATATTAATACTTAAAATGTTATGACCTTACCTATTAATAAACATAAACTAGCAAACCAGCGAACCAAATGTTCACCAAAACCTGATTTCTCGAAAACCGGAAGTGCTACATTACTCAAATCCGGTTTGTAGTCTTATCAGACTATTCTTAACTTATAACTTAAATATTCTCTTTATCTATCTCTTACGGTTTGGCCGCTGAAACAGCATCACAGACAGACGGACAGACTTGTCTAATAGATAAGAGATAATTAAAATGTTCTCTTAGTTGAAAAAAGAATGGCTTATTCATTGCAGTCTTGATAAGATTATATCAGTATTAATTGTAGGAGTTGCTGCATTTTATTATTAGTAGGTTGCTCATTGCCTCAATGAAATGCTAATACCTAGCATTTATATTAACAGATAGTATAGCATTTGTTGTAGTTAAGTGGAATGCACTTACGTAGATAAACTAACAGATAAAAGGACCTCTTATTGTTTTTGATGTAAATAACATTTCCCCTGTAAAAAGTACATTATGCACATTATATTTATTCCCAATTTTAGCAATCTATCACTTTATCGCTTGCTTCTGTGATGATCACAGTGGCTGAGTGGTGTCTATGCCAGGTACAAGGTGTTAGACATCCCGGGTTTGAATTGCAGCGAGCCAAATATATGTGTGATGAATACAGGCATTTGTATCTAAGTCATGGATGTTCATATGCTCAGATCAAATAAAAAAGTACAGATGCAGCGCTGCGAACAAAAAAGTGACACATTGGCTAAAACTTAGCCCTGCTGCATACGTACACAAATACATGCACACAGGTACAATGAAACCTGAGAACAAATATTTCAGTTGAGACATGACTGACGGACAAGCAACAACTGATATTTGGTTTTAGTTTCGTTACACCTGTGTGCCACCATGGATGACCCATTGGAAAAAGGAGGGTAGGCAGACCATACAAATGATGGACAGATGACATAGTCCGCATAGCCGGTGAGAACTGGACCAAAAAAGTCAGCAACAGGGACGCGTGGAAGGAAATGGAGGAGGCCTTCACCCTTTCAGAGCCATAATTATTAGTATATAAGATTAACAAATATTAGAGGAGCTCGATGGCGCAAGTGGTTAGCGATTCGGCTGCGATTGTTGAAGTTAAGCAACTTTCGCAGTGGTCGGTCATTGGATGGGTGACCAAAAATTTAATATCTTGAGCTCCTCCGTGCTTCGGAAGGCACGTTAAGCCGATGTGCTTCTGGCGCGCCACGACACGACACGACACGTTAATATGTTTCTGGCTTTAGAGGAAGTGAAGCCAAACATCTTTTTGACGCCGTAACGCGCTACGTAACGAAGCGCTTTACCCTCCCACAAGAAGTTATCACTTCAAAAATTCGACGAGGTCAAGGTCCATTTACTTTAGATATTAATTGAAATAAATAAAATAAACTATAAATGGACCGACACCGCTATCACGCCTCGATATTTTTGTCGGTACCTACATACTGATGCATTACTTCATATTAACAGTTTATGAGGTTTGTTATTTCTTAAACATGCTAATGAAATGAAACGTTGCACAAGAAAGAATTTACTATTCGAATCATTTAACTAATTGGCCAACTTTGTTACCCGGCGGACGCGTTAACTACTACGCTACTGTCAATCAATATTTGAATGATAAAACGGCCTGGTTGTAATTTTACCTGTAGATTTCAAAAGTTATATTAAAACTAAGGCTCCCAGCCTTAGAAAGAGTTTTGAAGAGAATCTTGCACTTACTCCCTTTCATATACTTGTTCATTTGGTTTTGAAAATGGTTTCTTGCTATTTTGGGACTTATCTTTGCATTTATTGTTAGTAAATTCGTTGATTGTCTATTGTTACATATTTGACATTATGTGATGGAAGTGGACCTCAACACATGTTTGCAAGTTTGATGTCAAATTTCAATTGGACGACACTGTATGAAATAAAACAGGGAGAAAAAAGCAACCCTTGCTGAGTTTCTTGCCGGTTCTTCTCAGTACAAGGTCTCCCGCCGTAGATTTGCGACCCGATGGCGTAGCTTTTCGACATTCACAAGTGCTTGTAACAGCCTAGACTGAATAAACGATATTGAAATTTGAAATTTAATAATTTGAAATTTCAGTGTTCAGTACATTTTTTAGAATTATTAATTTATTATTATTGATTTAAAAACCTTTGAGGTTTTTAACGGGACCCAATTACCATGGATGGAATGGCAACTAAGCCTCCATTTTCTGTACGTCCATCCATTGGTAAACCATTAAAATTGTCACAAAACGTATGAACAACTATAAAATAATGTTTCGACAACCTCCAAATGAATGGTGTGAGTACACCGGTTTTAAGAAGTCGCGTACCCTGAGCTTCTGGGTTCGAATCTCGGTAGGGGGCAATTATGTCTGTTTACATGATGTGTATGTATTTCTACAAAAAGTTACTTATCTATGTAACCACTAAATAATGAGGAGCTCGATGGCGTAGGTGGTTAGCGCGCTTAGCTTGCAATCGTGGGGGTTGAGCAACGTTCGCATTGGACAGTCATTGGATGGGGGACAAAAACTTTTCATCTTGAGCTCCTCCGCGGTTGGGAAGGCACGTTAAGCATGTTTAGCATCAATCATTTCGTACTGAGTCCGCGAGGTGGGTCATGATCCAATCCTATTCCATCCTCAGGGAAGGCCTGTGTCCCAGCAGTGGGGACATTAATATGCTAATGATGAAAAACCTGCTTTAATGTATTTCGATCTCAGTTAACGTTTTTTCATTTTTATTATTTCCAGGGTCTATACCATCCCTTGGAGCAGGTATCATCTTCGGATCAATTCTCGGTAAGTACTTAAGATTGATTTTTAGGGTTCCGTACCTAAAAAGGAAAAAACGGAACCCTTATAGGATCACTTTGTTGTCCGTCTGTCCGTCCGTCCGTCTGTCAAGACCGTTTTTCTCAGGAACACGTAGAGGTATCAAACTGAAATTCATATATAATACTCAGGAGTACTGTCCCTTGGAGCTGCGGAAAAATCAAACTTCTAAGCCACAGCAATCAAAAGATACAGCCGTTTATGTCGCAAATTTTCGAAACTCGCACGGGAATCAAAACCTACAGGATACTTCCCGTGAAATTAGAATCTTGAAATTTGGTACGAAGTAACGTCTTATAGTACAGATAAAGGAAAAATTGCGAAAACCGTAAATTCTTAGTTACATCCTATAATATTTTTTTTTTAATAATTATTAAAATATACCTAGAGGTTTGTACGGAACCCTCGGTGCGCGAGTCCGACTCGCACTTGGCCGGTTTTTTTATAGTTTAGTAGGTTAAATAGGAGCTCGAACTAAATTGAATAGCTATCATATTAACAGACTCATTGATTTGTACACGTTTTTTTAATACTATTTGTGTAATTTTTAACGTAAGATGTTGTTGATGTTCAATGATTATTGCATGTAAATATGTATAATCGTATTAGATACAATGTTTTTACTTCTGTATGACTAGTAGATCATTATTCCATTTAGTTTACTTGACCTGGTGCATTACGACTGGATCATATGTATGCATATCACTTAATAAAATACTAACTGATGACATACTGAAAAAAACTTACTATAGAACAACTGACTTTTAAATTACTCAAATAATTAACAAAAAATAACATCAACACAATCCAGTTGATCTAAGTACACTTAGGTTAATATTCCATTAAGTGATATTATTATGATTAATGCGTTGTAGTGAAATAAGTCAGAAACAACATATTTAGGAAATCAAAGGAATGAGTTTTTTTTATGTTAAAAGACTGTCAAACAAGCGTATGCCCGACTATGCACCGACTAAATGGGGCAACTATTTCAACGCGTTCAAAGAAGTTTATTGACTCATTTCTTTGCCGCACTATCCGTAAATGGAATGCTCTGCCTGCTCACGTGTTCCCTCCTTCTTACAACCTGGGATCCTTTAAAAGGGGCGTGAAGAAGCAACATGCAGGCCGGCAGGGTGAGGATGGCTGGTGTGGCAGGTAGAACTGCTATGTCAGCTATCTTCGCACCTGAACTTCACCGTCTCTTAATATCAAGTGGGGTGGAGTCATTGGTCGGACCTATGTATAAATAAAAAAATGATTGTCATACTGTATAAGTTTAAAAATATTATACAGGGTTAATTTGGCAGTACTATATAGCAAACATACATGGAGCCATCTCTTCGCATTGTAGGTAACCCACAGTGTCAAATGAATACATTTACAAGTATTAAACATTTGAAAGAAGAATTAGCAATTACGCTGTTTCATGCTTAAAAAATTGCCGACGGGTGCGGGTTTGAGTCCCGTCTGCTGCCTGGTCCGCGTGGAATTTTATCTAGTTATATTTTCTGTACATTTAACCATCAAGCTGTTTCATGCTTAAAAAATCAAAATTATAACTTTAATTGCTATTTCTTCTTTCAAATGTTTAATACTTGTAAAAGTATTCATTTGACATTGTGGGTTACCTACAATGCGAAGAGATGGCGCTGCCTTGCAGCTTTAGAATCGCTGGAAGAATTTCGCGGTAGCATAATTATTCAGTACATTCGCCAGGATAGCGAAGGATGCGGGTTCGAGTCCCGCCTGCCTAGACCGCGTGGAATTTTTTCTAGTTATATTTTCATTAGATTTAAACATCAAGTAGTTTCATGCTTAAAAAACCAAAATTATAATTAGGACATTCTTTAAAATATGCATACCTTAGTGAAAACGAGAGGTTAAAATAGGTAATGTTCTTTTTTACATTTTAGGCATGGGAGCATATCAGCTTAGCCAGGACCCCTCCAAATATGGTTTGATGTTGGGCACCACCACAGCGCTGGGAGGACTTATGGGTTACAGGTACTTACCATCACTCAATTACCAATCTATCAGTTTTGTTATTCACTTATTTCTTATGCCAGAACTTCAATTAGCTATTCCTGTGTGTCATTTATAAACTTAACATCAGTCTTTAAAATATATATATTTTAATTTTTTAAGCATGTAACTGCTAGATGTTTAAATCTAAAGAAAAATTACTAGTAAGAAATCCAGATTGTGGGTTGCCTACGATGCGAAGAGATGGCGCTGCCTTGCAGCTTAAGAAAGGCTAGAGACAATTCGACACGGCCGTCAGGGCCGCGGAAGCATAATGGTCAGTGCAATCGCCTGGATAGTGAAGGGTGCTGGTTCGAGTCCCGTCTGCTGCGTAATCCATCTGGATTTTTTTCTAGTTAAATTTTCTTTCGATTTAACATCAGTCGATCCTTTTCTTTCCTTATAAAGCCTGATAAGGACAGACTGTTGTCAAGTTTACAAATAGCATATACGAATAACCAAGAGAAGTGCAGACATTATGTTTTCACGCATGCCAAACATTCATTGAGACACTTTAAAGCGCTATTTTTTTTTATTGTTCTTGATGTTTCGAATCCTTTAAACAGACTTTTCAGTAGTCACCAAACTGTGTCCTATTCTAAATGTCAAGAGCCCGTTTAAAAAGTTACACGTTTTATAAACGGTGCAGGCGCACCCAATAACTCCAACTAATGTAAAGTCTTATACAGGGTGTTACAAAAATACAAATAAAGCTTGTAGGGCGTTGAAGTTCATCATATAAGGAGTCTATAAATTACGTCACACGTTAAGGGGAGGGAGGGGGTCGACGAAGTGTGACATCGTGTGACAAGGGGGTGGGAGGGGTCCTAAATTTCGTGACATCACATTTCAAAATCTATTATAATCTAAGTGTTGAAACTATTACTTTACGAAAACATTAGCAACCCAAACGAGAACAAAGTGGTGCTATGCCAGTTATAAATAATTTAAAGGAGTTGGTTCAGTGTCCATGGACTTACGATTATTAAGTTTGTATCTTTAATTTAATTATAATGCTATTAATATTTTTTGTTTTGTTAATTTCTTTAATTAACATAGTCAATTGTTTTTTGTTTGGTGATTTCTTTAATTAATATAATTAATCGTTTTTTCTTTTGTTAATTGTTTGATTTGATGTTAATATTATTAAAAAACAATTTAAATGGAAATAAAACTGATTTCAGAACCGTTGTTTTCATTCAATAATTTTTGAATGTAAATTTGCACAATATGTGACGTCACACTAGGGAGCGGGGGAGTCTCACAAATGTGACCAGCTGTGACAAGGACGGGGGGAGGAGCAAAAAATCATGAAATTCGTGTGACGTTAAATTACGTTATGGATGACCCCTAATGTATTAGCATGAAATTGTAACTTTTGATAAAAACAGTTATTTTTAATGATCCTCGAACTAGTGACGTGTCTTAAAATGATCGATATTTTTATTAATCATTAAAAGTAACTGTTTTTATAAAAAATTTAAAACTTCATGCAAATATTTTAAGAAAATTAGAGAACATTTATTTGTATTTTTGTAACACCTTAAGGTGGAGTTTACTGCGCAGACAGACAGACTACAATTTTAGCGAAAAAATTGTCTGTACTTTAATTTCAAATTTCTGTGTTCGCGTTGGCCCACGCGCGTATTTCTCTGTACCTCAAGCATGGACTCTGACAGATCCAAGGTCCAAGCATGAATTTTTGTAAGCTCCGTGACGTATCGTCATCGTCTTAAGTTTCTATGGAAACTAAGAAGCGCCCCTATCGGACGTAAGAACTTTTTTTGAGTGTGTAACCCGTTGGTCGCAGATGACCTTTACAGCCGTGTTTCACCGAGTTTGGGGACGGCGAGATCCTAACGGGACCTCAAGCCGAGAATCGGCGAGTGCCTCTAGAGGTATTCCAGGCGGATGGCATCTCCCCACGGGGGGAGTCTCCTCTCCGTCTGGAGCCCCTAGACCATTTGAGCCAGAGGGGGTCGGCTCAATTAGAGGTCGTCTCTGAGATTCGGACCTCGGCTCTAGTTAGCCGTTGACGTGGGGGGCGGGGAAAAACGCCCAGGTAACCTGGTATAGCGTGTCGTGTGTAGCCCGGGTCTTCGCACTCTTATCCTACGGATGCGGTGTCTGCCTAATGCTGAGCTAGTGTGCAAGTTTGCTAGCTGTGTAGTTAGTTAGCCATTGTCGTAGGGGGAGCACGTAAGAATACTTTGGCTCCTTTCATAGAAACCTTCACGATGGCGACACGAATACTTTCTCGCTAGTTGTTCATGCTTGAGGTACTGATGGAAAGGGGAAGGTGGTGTACGGGAAAATGAAATGAGCATCTTGAATGATTTATTGAAGTGAAACTTCTCTACGGACAGGGAAAATGGAAAGATCCTATGGAAAGATGAAACGGAAATGGGTCGAGCGTTACATGACTATCTATATATATATATATATATATATATATAAAACTCAAAGGTGACTGACTGACATAGTGATCTATCAACGCACAGCCCAAACCACTGGACGGATCGGGCTGAAATTTGGCATGCAGGTAGATGTTATGACGTAGGCATCCGCTAAGAAAGGAATTTGATCAATTCTACCCCCAAGCGAAGCGAGGGCGAGCCACTAGTTTATATATATGTGTGTGTGTGTGGGATGCGTGCGCAGCTCTTCCCGACGGGCATGAAAGTTGGTGGGTATCACGGCGAAGGCTGAAACGCTACGAGCGACACACGCAACAATATATATGTATATATATATATATATGAGTGATGCGTGCGTTGCTCAATTCCCCTATGCCTAACGTCAGATGTCTGGTCCGTGCACAATCGCTGAAAATCCCTTAACATAATTTGAATTATTCTTACTTTATTTTCAGATTCTACAACAGCAGGAAGTTCATGCCAGCCGGCCTAGTGTTCTGTCTATCAGTGGGAATGTTGGCCAAACTGATGGTGAAAAACGTCGGCTCTGGCCCAGTGCCCGTGAAAACTGGTTAATTTGCCCTTAATTATAATATAAAGTAGTTATTGTATGCGGTTTATTGAGTCATTAATCCTGATAATCTAAATCATTTATTCAGTTTAGGCTGTTATAAAGCTACGCCATCGGTTCGTAAATCTACAGCGCGAGACCTTGTATTGAGAAGAACCGGCAAGAAACTCAGCAAGGGCTGTTTTTTGTCCCTGTTTTATTATTTACAGAGTCGTCAAGTTCAAAAATGACTTCAGAGATGATTCATGAAGTCATCTTTCATTACATAATGTGAAATTATACATTAATTATTCACCTGCATTTTGATTGCTGTGTCACTGATGTAGAACGTAGTATTTTAAGGGGGGGTTTTAACTTATACCTTAACTTATTTAAACTTATTTTTTGTACTTATTGATAGAATAAGTAGGTATTAACTTTTATGTATTTCTGATTTCCATCTTTTTTTCTAGTTTTAATAATGTTGAAAGTTAATGTTGATATTATGACCATATTTTTTGAAAATGACATTATTTTGTACCCATAAAATCAACCATTTTGTTTAGTGACACAAAAAAGACTTTTTTTTTAATTGTAATAATACTGTGGGAATGGGTAGAATGAAATAACTTAATGAAATAAAGTAAGTACTAGCATTATGTCGGCATTTGAATAGTAAAACGCATACAATAAATATTTTTTATTAGTGTAGAAATAAGTAGTAGTTGTATATTTTGTAGATGATCATTGAATGTAGAGTAAATTATTTTCTCAACAATATCGCCCGATTCGTATTATAAGATATCACGCGGCAAAAAACCTTAAAAATTAACTCACTTTAGCCTTATGGAATATTACCAAATTTTCCCATGTTTCCGGTAATATTTCTAAGTTTTCCAGATAAGTGGGAATATCCCCGTAATTAACACAGTAAATTACTACTAATATTAAATTTTACCAGTGGCACATCACTTTACCCACAGAAGTGTCGTATTCTATAGAGAAAGAGTTTTTTTACTGTTTAAATTAAAATGACAATTTACTAAAAAAAAACACGGCAAATTTAGTCTAATGAGCTTAGTAATAAAGGTTATATTGCAGAATGGGGTAAGGTTTTGCATCTTACAATGTTTGAGTTCGTCAAACAAATACTTATTAGATTATCATCGGTTATTACTGTGCCTAAATCTGCATTAATTCTCTGAACATAAAACTAATTTTGAGACGACTTTTTCTCCCTTTCATTCTCTATAGAGCATGAAAAGGACATACTACGGTCAAATTTTGTTTTAGATTTGGGGCATCTGGTCTAAATTAGGCACACTATAATATAACATGGTACTTATTTAATTGTAGACAAAAATTATTTAAGTTTTTGACTTTTAAGTGACATTGCTTTACAAAATGTGAAAAACCATAGGCACAAATCTTAAGGTTTTTGAAGGAAATGATTGTGACTAAAGGGGTCATCATCATCATCATCAGCCTATTAATGTCCCCACTGCTGGGGCACAGGCCTTCCCTATGGATGGAATAGGGAGATTGGGCCATGACCCACCACGCGGACCCAGTGCGGATTGGTGGGTGCTAACGACTGCAAATGCAGCCGGGACCAACGGCTTAACGTGCCTTCCGAAGCACGGAGAAGCTCGAGATAGTAAATTTTTGGTCACCCATCCAATGACCGACCACTGCGAAAGTTGCTTAACTTCAACGATCGCAGCCGAACGCGCTAGCCACCTGCGCCATCGAGCTCCTTTCCTCTTTATTTTTTTATAATTTGTATTTTTCTGGTTGAATGTTATATTGTTTATTTTACGTTTTGTCAATATCTAAATGCTTGTTGCTTTTAGATAGAAATGAAGAGATATGACAGTTTTTTACGAAGTCGAGTAATAAAGACGGTGTTGGGTGATGTGCTCGTTTTATTTCTGACTTTATACGCTAATGGAATGTGGTATTTAATTATATATTACGGACTAACAGAAGTTTGCAAACATGTCAACGTGGCTGCCCAAGTTCAAGTAACGTCAAATATTGTCATAATTAGAAATGACGAAAGCCGAAAGTTGGGACTAAATTAGTCTAAAATAATAAATTTAATTGAATTGTAATGTCTCTAAAACTTTAATGTTCTGGCAATAGGTTATTAATTAGTTATATTTTTTTTACTGAAAACTTAGTCAATTTTGAGAATGCAATTAAATCAGTTTTTTTTTTAATTTTCAAAAGCTATTGCATGTAGTATTTTATTTTATTTCGAATTATTTACGATAGTCTACAATTTATGTATAAATCGGTCATCAAACTGGTGAGTAAAATTTTTACGTGCCAGCACTACATAAGAATTGGCCGTCGACACAAGTTTGTGAATATGTATACGTTTCATGTACACATTGAAAAATACTTCATTATTATCATCAGCCTATTGTCCCCACTGCTGGGGCACAGGCCTTCCCTATGGATGGAATAGGGAGATTTGGCCATGATTCACCACGCGGCCCTAGTGCAGATTGGCGGGTGCTAACGACTGCAGATGCAGCCTGGACCAACGGCTTATCGTGTCTTCCGAAGCACGGAGGCACTCGAGATAGAAGATCTTGTCACCCATCCAATGACCGACCACTGCGAAAGTTGCTTAACTTCAACGATCGCAACCGAACGCGCTAACCTCCTGCTCCATCGAGCTCCTCGAAGAATACTACTTAATTGTACATATTTTATCCATCCTCATGTCAGGTGGTCCTGAGATGTTACTTTAATATAACCACATCTCTGAATAAATTATAGGGGTAAATAATGAAACCATTATTCAAAATTTGTTATTTTATATTTTTTTCTTAAAATTTAGACATTCGTGATGTTACAAGAATTGATTTATACATAAATAGCTTGAACATAATAAATAGTTAACGGCAAGTGATGTATCAGTTTAAAACAAAAAATAAAGGAAAGAAAACATTTTCTCCTATATCGAGAAGTTACTGAATCACCAAAAAAAAAAACTTTTTTTTACAACATTTTTTTTAATCTATTGGTAACTTTAAAATTATAGACCTAATGTCACATAAATAGTTTTACTAAAACGCTTAGTAACGTCATAACAGGGGCTGTCAAATTTCATAATAAAAATAAAATAAAATCCAATTAATCGACAAAATCCGAGTAATAATTATCATTTACTTACGTAGAAATAGCGAAAAATAAAATGTCGCCGTTGGGTCGCGAACCAGTCGCACTTAAGACGATTTATTTATTAATTTATATAAAAAAACAAAAACGTCTATGTAACTAATTACGCAAAAATATGTAACTTTTTGCTCTTAACAAATAATAATGTATAAAAGGCACGTCTTGGCAGTTTTTCTCTTCACAACATAGCGAACGCTATTTATACATCAAAAGTGGAGTATTCTAGTTTCATTAACCATGATTGGATCACTCACATTATTGTCAGGGGATTTTATAACTAAACTACATGTACTTAGAGTTCATTTAAAGTAAGACAATCACATAATATCACTCATAGAGTTGTGCCCGACACTTTATTAACGTCTTCAGACACATTTAACGCACACACATAAACGCACATCCCATAGGTAGGTTGGTACCGCGCTGTAATTAAAATGATTACAAATCTGTAATTAGTCATTGAAATAAAAACAAGCAAAATTGTCGTCATCTGCTTGATCTTATTTTATAAACGTACTTGTTCGATATTATATCACATTATTATTCAACATATTTCGTTGTGATTACATAAATAAAATTACATTAAATAGAATTCCATCAATATAGTTGTAGAGATATTTTTTGTGAAATTCGTTGTAAGTACATAGTATTTTTTTATAATATAGGTACAGATAAAAATAAGTATCTTTTCATAATTTACAAACAATTATAATATTATTACAATTTAGAAATATAAGAAAACGTGTAAATAAAATAGAAACTACATATACTTATTCAATATTTTCAACTATTTAATGAAAATAAAAAACTAAGGAAAATATATTATTTTACGCTTTTTTATCACAATATCATTTGTGATGTCAAAAATTAAAATTCATTCATAATTAACAATGTCAGTTTTTTCTTAACAAAGTACTGTCAATTACAAAATTGCTATTTAATATTACAAAAAAATATTGAAAATTTGCAATTTCAACACAATACTATCAAAAAATGACATTGAATCGTAACGAAATACTTGCTAAAAACAACCAGTAAATTTCAATTGCTATTTAAACACAATACAACAAAAGTTCAATGACATTGCGTCGTAATGAAATACTTGTTCAAAAAAGCCAAACATTAAAATCTCGACACCGGCTGATCCAAGTACACATTAAAAAAATGGTGAGATATTTCCGCAATATCTTCGATTTCTTAACACCGGAAGCCAGTTTGTCGTGGCTATTTCATAATAATCTTCGTTTTCGTTACACTGGTACCCAAGTATATCGCGGCTTTTTTGCAAAATCTAAGGTTTCTCAAAACCGGAAGTCAGTTTGTCGCGGTTATTTTGCAAATATCTTCGATTTGTTAACACTGGAAGCCAGTTTTTCGCGGCTAAATCTAGTTGAGGGGGTATTTGTTCTCGGGATGTGCGGTGACCAACTGTATATGGTATCTAGAGCCGGCGCGGCCGTCCGCGCTGGGCCGCGTGTGCGGGACCGACGTCGCCGGCGAGGCAGTCTTTCTGTGCTCGGCCCGCTCCTAACATTAGTGGCGGCTGAAAATATATAAATAAATGAATTCGTTGTTTTAAGAATCGGGTGGAAAATCCATTAAACCTGCCTATTATGTACTATACAAGTTCTTTTGAGTTTGGGACTGGACGAGTGCTCCGACTGATGTTAAGAAAGTCATTCCACTATTCGAGTCCTTGAATGCACTACGTCTCTTATTAATGTATTATATTCATCATTTAATAACTACAAAATATCTGCTTAGTTTGGGGCTGACTATTTAGTAACCATTGCAGTATTGTATCTAAGAACTTCGAAAGGACATTCATAATAGACAGGTTCCACGGATTTTCCATTCGATTCTTATCATCAGGTGGAAAAGAGTGGAAGGATCGTTATTGACGAATAACTTACATTATTGAAGAGAAATCAGAATGGGGGTTTTATTTTGCAAGCACATGGTCTAATGTCCGTTTATTCAACCATATACATATTTGCATAATAGGACACATATTGTTGTTTTGTTTTCAATTCTATTTTAAATAATGGACTGATATAAGAAACGTCCTTTTAGTTATAGCTATGAAAGTAGGTATTTATTTACATTAATGTAATATAATTTAAAATGTGCAAATATTAATTTTGTGCTTCCATTGATGCTATTTAATTTAACAATTATTAAAGTTGCATGTTGTCTGCTTATTATGAAATGAAATATTGGTTGAAAGCAATACTGAAAAATAACATACGGGTAAAAATAATTACAAATATTAATCTTTAATCAATTATAAAGTAGATATACTAAAATGTTATTATTACAATTATATACAACATATGTTGAAAATGTGTTTAATGGTGTCATTCGAATTGGTAATGCATGCTCTTGATTTTTATCTCTTTTGTATATATTTATAGTACAGTAGATGGAGATGCCAATACATGCTTTAAGTATGAGCTTGAGTTGATTTCGTAAATATTTACAATTACGGATATAAATTCGCTTATAAATAACACTCTTTATTCATGATATCGTGCATAACTTATGAGCTCATTGAGTGTGTTCTTTTTTCTTTTCATGCGTAGCACTTTATTGACTTATGAGTAGCTCAAGTAGGAAATTATCATCCTTGCGGTTTTAAATTATAATCCTCTATTAACGTGTTGCTTTTTCGTTGTGGTTTTTTGTGATCTGTTATTTTTGTTTGTTTTAGCCAAATATACTAAATATAATCGAACTGATTGTATATTTTTACAGTAGATGAAAATACTTTTCAGTTTCAACTCAACTCTATGCATGCTTTTATAATTTTTGTATTGAAATGGATAGAAGATGTAATGTACAAAGTTTTAAAATTTCTCGTGCTGTTAAATGCTACAGTCAATATCAAATACATATATTATTTTAATTTAAAATATTTTGAAGTCAGATCATTTTTATTTGGATAGATTCCAATATAAAAATATATATATCCCTCAAAATAATATCGTTTTGTTATTGACTGTACTGTGTGTAGTGTGAAGTGAAAAATAATAATGTATGTACACGTTTTTGGAAAACGCGAAGTAGCTATTATGACCGTGATTTGATGACGTTAGAAATTATTTACACCAGCCGAACAACCTGAAAATTCAAGACAGTGATATAAATACAGAAAACATTCCGAAACGCTACTCAAAGAACATGAAGTATTGAGAGTTTCAGAATGGTCAGTGATGTGTATGAGCGAGCAGAAAGGTCCATGACGATAGAGATGACTCCAATGCATTCCAAACTTTGTGCTCTTACCGATAAGTGCTAATCTCTATTGCTGTATCACTTCGCCCGTTGTCAAATTCCTAGTATACGAGTGTACGAGTCTCGCTGGTTCAATTTGGACTTGTTGCGAATTAGCGTCTGGCCTTATGGAGTTGTCGTTCGATTTTCTCGAATAGTAAGTTCCGAATTTGAAAACCGATTTCACACTCTTGTCCGAGAAAGGACTCTTTGTCGTCGGCTTGAAGTAATTGTCGAAGTCTTCTTTGTTGTAGAAACCTCTTTTCGGTTCGCTTTTTGGTGTAGTCTTCGTTGTTCTTAAATAGAAATCTTTGAAGTCGTAAGGACTTCTCGTCGTCGATATGGAGTATTTGTTGATCGACGGTGGGTGTGTGCTGGGCGTTTGTGTCGTTTTTTCTGTCGTGTATTGATACGGTTTCCTTGTTGTTGTTGTTGTTGTGTACCTCTCTGTCGTTGTTGATACTGTTGTGTTGATACTATACTTTTCTGTGTGTGCACTACTGGGTGGTACGTAAGGTGTGGTCTCTTCGTAACTGCGTTGGTAAAATATTATTATTATTATAAGCAGGGTTTTGTGCGTGACTGTACACAAGCTGACTTCAATGAGAGTGTGGGTTGTTCTCATTTTTTTTGTCAGAATTGTGATTTTTATAATTTATTGTTAGTCAATGAATGCTACTTTTAAAGTCGTATTCTTAGCGTTGCCTAAAATGTTATTTGCCGATTTTTTTCTGTCTTAATTGATTTTAATCCCTCGTTTACATATATTTAACTAATTTTATACGTCTTAAGTTTTTGTTCCCACTTAGGTATAAAACATGTAGTATGCAAAACTTGCATCAAACTTGTTATTTAGATAAACAAAATGGGTAAGCAAAAGGTGATTTCTAATTGCAAAGCTAGTAGGTAGTTGTCTACGCAATGTAAACGAAATAATGATTCAAACAGACGAAATAAGTTTTTTACAAGTTTTGTGTAAAACTAGTATATGACTCGTTTCCTGGTGTAAACGAGGGGTTAGGTTTCATAGCCAAATTCTGAGATTCGACACAAAATAGAGATATCAAAGTTTTACAAATCATTTAGTAAGAAAATGGTTATATTAAATCATCACTATTTTACCCATAAAAACAAATATAACTAAATTATAGTGCAATTGATAAGTATATGCACATTGTTTTTAATAAATTCATATCTTTTAAAAAAAAAGTTAAAGTAATATTATTAATACATTAACTCTAAATAAATTCTTATTTACAAAAAAGCTATTATAGTTATAGAATCTGTGTCATACCTAATTAATTTAGTTATTACTACAATCATTTTAACTAACCCTATTTATTTTTCATTAAGTTATAGAATCTGTGCAATGGTAATCGAAATAAAAAAAATCTAAAAGTTTATTTCTTTACCAGTTTAGCTTAACATGAAACCAGGGTGGGTTCCTTCTATGACTCACACGACCATAGACAAGGTAGACTGCGCAGTATTCTAGCAATTTAACATACAAAATCATCTACTGCGCAAGTTTGTCTGTGGTCTTACTCAAGAGGTTTGCCGAGGCCTATACCTAACTTTATCATAATTTTATAATTATGATAAAGTTAACTAAATGAAATTAGTTTTAATGATTATTCATTAAAACTAAAACTAATTTCATTTAGTGATAGAATATGTGCAATGGTTATGAAAACAAGTTTATTTCATTACCTACTTAACCTAACATGAAGCCAGGGTTCTATTAGTCAGTCCAGTATAATTTAACGTTTAGAAGCTACGTTTCTTGTCTTTTTTTTATTTATTTAGAGGCTTTCATTCTACGAATATGCCAGCCTCATCGTACCCTAACCAAAACATACACAACTAAATTAATTTAAAACATTGGAGAGAGCGAGCTATTCTTACTAGCGAAAACCATATCAAACATCGAATTTGCTGCGTCTGAGTTTGGTAGTGCTAATATTTCGACAAAGGAACCTATATTCTCAAAGTTAAGCTGTTCTTCACACAATCCATCAAAATGTGTTGGATATCGTCCACTTTGTAACATACTTTACAATTGGGAGAATTAGATTTCTTCATCAAATGTGCACACTTCCTAGATGCATAATAACCTGAAGAAGCTAAATTACCTAGTAATGTTCCCGTAGAAGGGGCTGGTCTCGGGGCGCACGTAGCTGGGCGTGTGCTGCGAGTAGTCCGGGATTATGTTCTCGTGCTCCGTTATACAACGCCCGTTGATGCAGTACTGCGTGAGATTAAATACCACGTTAATTTAGTTATATAGGCAACGATATTAAATCTAAAGAAATTAAAAAAATAATAAGGTAAGAAAAGGACAGACTGATAGTTATACAGGATGTAAAAAAGCCTATAACGAAGTCGAAGGCCACGTATTTTCCACATCATGACGATATTTTTTTTCTTCTGGACCATACCTGGGAAATTCATGGTATGTATGGAGATATTGAGGGTCAAAGTCAAATTATTTTTTTCATGATTTATACATTAATACTTTCAAAACGTTATTTAGAAACTTTGTTACCGACGCACTTACACACACGCACACTCATACACACAGGTACATTATTTGCGTAGCGCCACAGTAAAGCGGCCCGCTATACATTGCGTACTCGGAAAAAAAATGTTTTTTTTTTAACTTAAAAATACACAGTTTTCCCACCTATAATATTTTGTAATATGACTTGTTTGGGTGTACAGAATGCGTAGTTTAAGTCTTTGTCATAGGTTTTTTTACACCCTGTATAGGCAACGATATTAAATCTAAAGAAAGTTTTACTAGAAAAATTCCACGCGGACCAGGCAGCAGACGGGACTCGAACCCGCACCCTTCGCTATCCGGGCGAATGCATTGACCATTATGCTACCGCGGCCCTGACGGCCATGTCGAATTCTCTCTAGCCTTTCATAAGCTGCAACGCAGCGCCTCTCAGCAGTGCTCTTCGCATTGTAGGTAACCCATAATTAAGAAAGGCTAGAGAGAATTCTATTCGGCAGCATATTGGTCAGTGCATTTGCCCGGATAGTGAAGGGTACGGGTTCGAGCCCCGTCTGCTGCCTGGTCCGTGTGGATTTTTTTCTAGTAATTTTTTTATTAGATTTAACATCAGTCTGTCTTTTTCTTATTATTGACTAATTATTTATTTCCTTATTTCCGCATGATAAGGACAGTATGTCGTCTAGTTTACAAACAGCAAATACGAATAACCAAGTGAAGTGCAGGCATAATGTTTTCACGCATGCCAAACATTAATTGTGACACTTTTTAATGCGATAACAATAAAAATGTATTTTTTTTATTATTCTTGATGCTTCGGATTCTTTAAAGACTTTTCTGTGGTCACTAAACTTGTCTGTGTCCCATTCGAAATTTTCTTTATATTTTAACTTTTAGCAGTTAAATGCTTAAAAAATTTAAAATACAACTACAGTGTAAACTCTATATAACAACACTAAATGGACTATACATTTTATGGCGTTATAGAGAATTGCCGTTAAATGGAAAGAAGATATATTATGAATTATGAAATGAAAAAGTTTATTTCAAGGTAGTAGTTATATAGGTACATAAAAATAAAATCGTATTTGAACGCTATTGCGTATATTTTGTTATTTTTGTCTAATGTCTTTTGCTGCACCAGTAATTTTATTGTATTGTATTTTTTTTAATCATAGTCAAACAACGGTCTACACGTGAAATCCCAATAGGGATGATGACTATTTTTTTTTCTTCGTTTATCAGGTAGATTATCTAAAAGTATTGGACACGTATTTTTTCTTTCACATAATATAAACATTGCAGAGATATATTGATTTGAAAAGTCGCATGACGTCACTTTTGAGTACACTTATAGGTGAAAATTCACTCAAAAGTGTCGGTACGAGCCCCTACTCCCAAACTTTGACGCGCTATAACTTTGTCGTTTTTTGGTTGATTGCCCAAAGAAAAAATACGTGTCCATTATTTTTTGATCATCTAACTGACGGACTAAATAGAATTTCGTTTCTGTACCCCGTTATCACCCCTATTTGTAAACAAAACAACGAATTTCTCAGATAGTTTAGTTTGCATGATGCCGACAGTCGAGTGTATTACGGGCTAGGATAATAAAGCGACAAAAGAACATACACATCTGCTAATTTTGGCAACTAATTACTTAATTGTTGTCGTTATTGAGAGTGGGTGAAATGCTATATGGAGTGTATCATTGGTGTCGATTCTGGCGTGATTCTCTAAACTTAAAACTAAATTTAACATCAGTCTCTCCTTTTCATTCTGTATAGAGAACGACGGGGATGCACTGTTGTCAAATTTAAGTTTAGCTTTAGAGAATCATGCCAGAATCGACATCATTGTATGGAAAACAAACTAAACCGACCAAATACGAGTGATTTCGACGCTTTAGGGAGTTTGTCGTTAAATCGAGTGACGTTACATGCAAGGGTGGATCCAGCTTTGGCGCCAGGGGGGGCGTCATATAGTCGTGGTCAAGTCACAGTGGATACAGATTGTGATAGGGGGGGGGGGGTCATGACCCCCGTGACCCCCCCTCTGGATCCGCCCTTGGTTACATGGAGTTAACACTGTATATGTATATGTGTTTGGCACCTGTCCGTCGCCGCAGGGCGATCCCTCGGCGGCGGGGCGGTAGGCAACGCAGTACCCGCTCGCTGAATCGAAGCAGAACAGCTGCGCGCAAACACGCTCGTCCTTGAAGCACGCGCTACAACAAAACGCGATACATTGTTTTAAACTTTCATGCTCACTAACATTAATAAAATAAATATTTCCAACACTCACACCGATTAGCCTAGCCCCAAAGTAAGCACTGTAAGGCTTGTGTTATGGGTTACTAGGGTAACGGATAGAATACATATACTTTACATATATATAAGTATTTTTATATAGAAATACATATGAAATATCAATGACTGGAGTACGAATGCTCGTATTCATCACACAAACATCTGCCCCCACCAGGATTCGAACCCGGCACTCTCGAGTCGGCAACACCATAAATCCGATGTACAAACGTATTAATGTATAAACGAGTGACCAAAAATATATTATCATGAATTCCTTAATACTTCGGAAGGTATAGCGGCAAACTAGTTGAGCTAAACCACAGACACATAAACATGCACAGTAGACGTTTTTATATGGAAAATTGGTACTGTGTAGGCTTCCTTGTATATGGTCGTTGCTCAAGAAGCTTGCCGGGGTGTATACACTAAGCCGTTGGTCCTAACTATATTTGTAGTTGTTAGCACCCACTAATCCACATCTTTCTATCCAATAACCCCTTACTTACGTCCGGAAGAGGCACTGCGTAGTTTCCATAGAATTAGGTATTAAGTAAGGCTTAAATCTAATCAGTAAATCCGTAAGCACAGTAACTCTCTGAAATATCAGTGCTATTTTTTAAGAAAACACTATTACTCATATTTCGTAGTTGTTCAAATCATTACGTAGTTTATGAAGATTTTTAACTAAACACAACGATATTAAATACCCCAGATACACCAACACGAACAAAATCGTGCCCGAAACCTGTCCAGAAAGTAGGTACATTGGACGATCCACGGAGCTCCGTAAGATGATCGCATTGTCAAAACCAATATAAGGTATTAATTAAACATTGAAAGTCACCTTTAATGTACACTGTATCAGGTCTTAATTAAAACGCATGCGTCAAAGAGTAATGACAGTTCGAAATGCAAGCTAGTAAAATTTTACGACTTATTGTTATATGCGGAAGAATGTAGATCTTATTTCTTTGCCTCTACGCGCAATTCTGAATGCGATGTTAGCAATATAGCAGGTACGGACTGCGAGGAAAAGAGATGGCTATAGAACCGACCATGCATTTGAATATCACATATATGTTCTATTAAATTAGTTTATAGTAAGTATTAGAACTAATTTTGCCTCAAATGCGTTAAAATAACTAACATTAATTAGATACCTGTCGAAAAACGACACTTTACGTACTATTAGTATTATTTTTTTTGCATTTTTTCACGGAGCTCTGCGGCAACTTGAACTTTCAACGGTACGTGACGCGTGACTGTGAACCAAGAAGTGCTGGAGTGGGATTCAAGCACTTCTTGATTGGGACACATTTTGAACGCACGTGGTGTATCTAGTGTATATAATATCGTTGAGTAAACATTATAATCTCGTAAATTCTCACCTGGTGCCTCTGTCCTTCCTGCACTGCGCGTCGAGTGTCAGCAGTCGTCCCGGCAACACGCGCGGCAACGACTCGTCCTCATGCGGCGAGTTGTATAGACACGTCGCCGTGTCACCGCTGATGACAGACGAATATAATAAGTAATATTAGGAATAAATTAGATTTATTGTTTTAAAATTTCATGGTCACTAATATTATAGTAATATAAGTTATTTACGGGATTGTTATCATGTACCTTGTTTTTAGCGAGTTTCCGATATTTCGGCACTGTTGCAAGCGCCATGATCAGTTCACGGAGTAACTATTACTCCGTGATCGGAAACTCGCTAAAAACAAGGAAGATGGTAACAATCCCGTAAATAACTTATATTACTATAAATTAGATTTAGATTCAAACATCGAGCAGTTACATGCTGAAAAATAAAAATTATAACTATAATTGCAATTTCTTCTTTCAAATGATTAATACTTGAGAGATGGCGCTGCCTTGCAGCTTAAGAACGGCTAGAAAGAAATCGACACGGCCATCAGGGCCGCGGTAGCATAATGGTCAGTGCATTCGCCCGGATAGCGAAGGGTGCTGAGTAGCTGGTCAGCTGCCTGGTCGGTGTGGAATTTTCTCTAGTAATATTTTTTTAGATTTAAAGATCGAGCAGTTACATGCATAAAAAATAGACCTATAAATTATATTTCTAACACAGTGAATTGAAAGTTCCCTGTCCATCTATGAACTTAAAATGGGCAGATAAATGCGAGAGAAACGAGGCAATCGTGCCAGCCAATAGTTGTTTAAGTATCGCCTTCACAATTGCTTTATATCATTCCAGAGAGTTGTTTATTTCACGAAAGTGTCATTCAGTCCAATCCTTATGTTTTCACTTATGGTTGAATTTGACTGTAATTTTAGTGTCTGATGGACTACCTTACATTATCTAGCCGTTGGCACGTTCAATGAGGGTTTTCTGGAATGACGGGCGCCAGGTGGTAGCACAGAGGTGAAAGGTCTACTCATCCGTCAAATCGCGTATGCCTATAGATCAATTTAAATGCCCGTTTGATTAATTCGCGCCAAAAACTTCATTCAAAAGAAAGAGCTCATGCCAAAACGGCGCCAACTGCTGATGTAAATTTTCATAAACAAAACAACCCCTCATTTCGTTGCATAATGGAAGGGAGGTAACACAATCGGGTTTTCCGTAAGAACCAAACCGCAGATATATTTATTTGTTGCGTAATGTCATGACGCGTCAGGAAGCTATCGGTTTCATACATTTAGTACGTTTAGAGTGAGTCCGCTGTCGACACATTGCGACAAACGTATAATTCTAACCGTACTAAAAGTATGAAATCGATGACTCGCCGTCGGGTCGACACAACAAGACCGATAAAGCTATTTGCGACTTCAGGTATGTCCTAAGAAAGTATCTTGTTGCTAATTAGAAGTCAAGAAACCCAAATGTGGTGTTGTCTATGATTCACTTGAGGAAGTGGTGGAAGCTCTGCACACTGCAGGGGGACCAGCGGAACCCCTTGTCGGTGTGTCTGAGGTCAGACATGATGATGCCGTCCTCCCAGCGACACTTGTTAATGTAGTGTTGTCTATGACTTACTTGAGGAAGTGGTGGAAGCTCTGCACATTGCAGGGCGACCAGCGGAACCCTTTGTCGGTGTGTCTGAGATCAGACATGATGAGGCCGTCCTCCCAGCGACACTTGTTATTGTGGTGTTGTCTATGACCCACTTGAGGAAGTGGTGGAAGCTCTGCACACTGCAGGGGGACCAGCGGAACCCCTTGTCGGTGTGTCTGAGGTCAGACATGATGATGCCGTCCTCCCAGCGACACTTGTTAATGTAGTGTTGTCTATGACTTACTTGAGGAAGTGGTGGAAGCTCTGCACATTGCAGGGCGACCAGCGGAACCCTTTGTCGGTGTGTCTGAGATCAGACATGATGAGGCCGTCCTCCCAGCGACACTTGTTATTGTGGTGTTGTCTATGACCCACTTGAGGAAGTGGTGGAAGCTCTGCACACTGCAGGGGGACCAGCGGAACCCTTTGTCGGTGTGTCTGAGGTCAGACATGATGAAGCCGTTCTCCCAGCGACACTTGTTAATGTAGTGTTGTCTATGACTCACTTGAGGAAGTGGTGGAAGCTCTGCACACTGCAGGGGGACCAGCGGAACCCCTTGTCGGTGTGCCTGAGGTCAGACATGATGAAGCCGTCCTCCCAGCGACACTTGTTAATGTATTGTTGTCTATGACTCACTTGAGGAAGTGGTGGAAGCTCTGCACACTGCAGGGGGACCAGCGGAACCCCTTGTCGGTGTGCCTGAGGTCAGACATGATGAAGCCGTCCTCCCAGCGACACTTCTCGGCACCCGGCCCGCCTAGGTACGACGGGGGAGGGCTGCCGTCATGCACCGCGCCCAGTCTGGTGAGAAAGTTTTAGCATTGTTAATAAACTTGTCATAGTGTTCACAAAAAGATTATGTGGGACTCATATACTCGCTCAATTAGCCAGAGGACTGGCTTAGCGGCTGTTTGAAAGTAAGGCGGTAGCCCTCTCCACTAAAACCTCCGCTGACCCGGTCCATCTCCCCATCCAGTGCGTGGCCATCGGTCGGCGAGACAACGGCACGAGGTATTAGATATACCAAATCCGTTATCGGCCGAACTATGCTCGGGCGTCATCGGTCGATTGAATCAAACCCTTGTGAACACCAGTGAGAGAGAGAGTCGGAGACGAACGGACCCATCAGAATGGCATAAGGATTCTTTCAACTTATTAATAAGGGAATCCTAAAGTGTTGTTAAATCCAACGACTTCTTATTTACTAGAAACAAATTTATGTATTCTACGTATCAGACAGGATTCGGACCTTCACCTTCCACTATCCGGGCGAAGCAAAGGCACTACCAGGTTCAGGTTCGAATCCTGGCTGACACCTGGCCTCGTGAATTTTTTCAAGAATATTTTTGTCAAATCTACTTACAAATGTCCGACTTCGTGAGCAGCCACAATGATTCCGGAGAAGCCACCAGTATCTTCAATGATGGCCACAGAGTTGACCTTCTCCAACCGCTTGTTAACGACACACGCGCCGCCGACGTACGCAAACCCTACGCATTGAACGTAAGTCACAAAATGTTTCGTTTTCAATGATCAGGTAATTAAAAGCTGCATCACCGTGCCCTGTACGCTAAGCACCCTAAGTTATTTTTTGGGATAATCCAAATGTTGTTTTGAATCTTGTTCAAAATTATTAACTTTATTGAAAGTAGAAAGCAAAAGTTTGATTGTTTTATATTAAATTTATAAAACAATATGTTTTTAGGCAATAACTAGTTTTTTTCTATGTAAATTAAAACATAATTTTCAACATAAACAAGTAGGTAATAAAAAAAATGTACGCCCACGAATTATATGCAGCATAAAAAGTTATGGTTATCAATACCAAATTTAGTTAAGTTAGCTATGTTATGTAGGATAAAAGAATACTTTTTATTATAGTCGAAACGTTAACGTACAGGGCCAGCAAACGTGCTTATTACAAATAAACGATTCTGGTTCGAACATAGGTAGGTATTATAGCCCGCGCCAATAAAGAAACTAATCGAAGATGGTGAATTGGTGATGCAAGATATTCTGACGTTCCTGTATTATACCTAGATGGCGGCAAACTTCTTTAGCGAACCACAGCTAAATAAGTATCCTTCTCATTCTCCATACAGAATGAAAAGGAGAGACTGATGTTAAATTTAGTTTTAAGTTTAGAGAATCATGTCAGAACTGGCACCATTATTTTTAACATTTGTGCTAAAGGATTATTTTTTATTTATTCTGGCCTTGGATACTTTATCCTTTAGCCGAACAAGAGGAATATAATGTCTTTTGTCGCCAGTTTAGATTCGGTTTCTTTTTTGGAAAGTGGCATGAAAATTCAAACAATCATCATATAATCATCCATGTAGAATAATGGAAAGGACATTATAGGTAAAGGAGATGGTATAATGATGATTCTTTACTCACATTCATATTTTTGATGGAGATGTGACATCGAAGAGTTGTTGGTCAGGTGATCAGGTGAAAATTGGTACTTACAGTGGGTGTGGTAGGTAGAAAATATGTACAATTAGTGTTATATTTACTTGTTAGAATGTGACATGCAGATTTGATTTTATCATATTGATAAGATCCGGTGTTAGTGTGAATGCTATTTTAGTGAAGTTAATTTAAATAAATAAGAATATGATTTTTAAATAAGTTCATGTATTTAGAGGCTATATTAGTGTTTATTGTACAAATTCATACAATTATAACATTAGTGAGTATCTACTTGGTTAGCTAATTAATGGTGGGTAGAAACTTATATTCCATGTAACATGCAATCATTATTTTGGTGCAAACAAACAGCATTAATTCCACATTCCAAGCAAGCGAGTGAAAAAATATTTTTTATAATGCATATTCCCGCGTTTTTATATGGCTAGCATAGAGCAGCGCAACCTTTTGCTTCTTTTTTAATTTTCTTTTTCTTTTTATGAAAAGAACTTCGATTAGACAAATGTCAAAATCGAGTAAAATATTTACAGCTCGTTTTAACTTGTTCTCTTATGACACGATGTTGTTCTCTTATTCTTAGGATCCATCGTCGTATTTATTGAAGGTCACTACTGCCTTCAATATTTATTTCGTTATCAACTATGCTGCTATTTGAATTGCTTCACTGAAAAAGTAATAGCTAATATACGTATTTTACTTTTGAATGACCTTTTATTTTTTAGTCAAGGTACTTAAATTTTGAATAATATTGTGCTTTAAGAAACAGCTATAATAGTAAAATGTAATGCTTAAAGATTTTCATGCAACGAGAAGTTTTTTTACAAAAATTGGAAAGAAGAATCTAACAGACAAAAATAAATCAAAACTATCATTAAACGATCAATGGTTTCATGACGTACGATTTAGAAGATGCAACAAAACGATGAGTGACTAAGCTACATAATTATACATCTGAAACAAGTAAGTAAATAGGTAGGTACAATATCTACATGAGAGAGATGTTTACAGATAATATACAGTGGTGGTAGAAGAGTCAAACTGCGGAAAAGATAGTTATTATTCACAAGGTGCGAATATGATACCATGGATTATATTGTAAAGGTACACTGGTAGGCGGATAATGATCACACCGAGGATAACTGTGTACAAAGGAGTGTGGGACTTTGATGAGATAAAAGGCGTGCTTTGGAAAATAATACTGAGTCTTTGAAACACGCCTACCTGCCGTCCCTCTATTGCAAGCATCGTTCGCGTATTGTCGCCTGCACATGTCTAGTCTGAAAGTTCAGGGAAATAGATGAATCTCAATGAAATCTTCAACAATTCGTCTATTAGGTCCGTCGAGCCTACGTTTGACTTCGCAAGCGTTCGCAACGTTTATTGCAGAAACGGCACGAACAGTTGCTATGACCTGTATCCCTTCGGGGTTGCTTAAAAACATTCAGCGCCATTACCAAAATCCTTAACCTTATAAATTATGAAGCCGAATTAATGTCACTGGTAAGCTTCGGTTAATGCAGAGCTGATAACCACTCGCAATCCATCCTAGGTAATGTTTTGTTTTAAAATTAATTTACCAGCGGTGCCTTTGGTACAGCGACCACCCTTGCGACGGCGGCACATGTCATACCTGTTGGTGAAATCATGTTCACTAAATTCAGCAATGGAGTATTAAGGGCTAATGCTATAATGGCGCTAAATTAACTTTAAAGCATTCAATCAGTTTTATTGATGTAAAAGATTATAACTAAATACTTACCGACTTACCTGGGTCCATTTGTTAGTACATGGTAAAGTTAATTTAAATTATCATTGTTATTAAACTTCAGAATTAATTATAAGGTACATCGTATTTCACTATAAGAGTTATTTATAATAATATTGATTAGAGTTATGGTAATATTGACAATATCAAGCAGGTAATTGTGATATTATACAAACCACTTTATATCTAGCGTTTACGATTCATTAATAACATGTAAAAACCTAATTATGAAAACGAATGATCTTCGGTTCTTATACTTACGATTCGTACTGTAATTTAAAGTCAGGGATTTTTTTTAATTTCATTTGTGTAAATGAATATGAGAACTAAATAATTATTTTAATAAGTAGCAGGAGATTGATAAATACCTAAGTTAATTTTGCCTTTCGGTTTTTGTCATCATGTAATAAAAACTTCGTTTTTTTTAAATAACGAACAAAGAGTATTCCAGGTTTTAAATGGTGAATGGTGGTGATTCTCAGAGAAGGTAGAATCTCTGCGATACATTCTAAATTATTGAGTAATACAAAACAAGATATTTCAATGAGTATGACTTACTTCGTGATGGCGACGGCGATATCGTAGACGGGCAGTCTTCTCTCTCTGAAGAGATACTTGCCCATGTCGGTAAGGGCGGCGGCCGAGTCGATGGCGTCACGGCCGACACGATTCCTCTCCAAATATGGCGTTGCGTCTCGACCCTGAAAAATATGATAAGAAAAAATAAGCAAAGCCTAAGAAATACTTGAAAAACTATGTCTGTTAATGTCCTGGTATCTAAAATGATTGGTAGTGCTTTCGCCTTGATAGCGCAAGCAGTGGCCGCATCATGCCTCGGTCTGTTCAGGATTCCTCGACATTGACGAGATAGCATCATGAGAAGCTATTATTTATTCCCTGTCTATAAAAAAAAAAGAGAAAAAAGACTTGTTTTTACGTCTTGCATAAGATTTAATTTCTTTGATCAGCAAATAAATTAATATAAACATATTCATGGAAAGAGAAAAATAAAATTGCCAAAGGATCATCTGCTAAAAAGATCATAATCATAAATAGTAATCAAATTTATGAGGTTGCGGCTTTGATATAGCTTTTTTCTTATTAACAGAAACAGGTGACACACAGTTTTTTGGTATCGCGTGTTATAAAACGAGTTATATATGATTCAGATTTGAATAACTTTCTTAACTTTGAAGAAGGAATGATATTTGTGGGCAATCCATTAAATTAGCAAGTTGGTAACTAAACCAGTTATCTTATATTATTTTCCTATCTTATTATACCATCTTTAATATACCTTATTATTCAGACCGAATTCATTGCCCTCGTTGTTAATCTTCAGCGTTGCAGGTGTTCCAATTTATATCTACCTATCAACTGCCGAGTTTTTAGTTTATTTATAAACAGCTAAGATAATCTTCCATAAGCGCATTTCTAAGTAACAAAACTTGATAGGTAATAAATTAGGAAACCATTAATTTTAGAGCGAATTTACAAGTGGAAAGTTTTTTTTAAAAGGTTGGTTCGATAATGCGGTGTTATTAGTCCAGTAACCAGGCAGACTATTATGTAGTCCTTTGTCTATTCTTTTTTTAATTCCTTATCTCTATGATCTATTACTATGGCGAGTTTTTGGCGGGATTTCATCTTATTTTAATTATTCTTTAATTCGTTCATAGTGGATATTGTAAAATAAAATTGGTATGATTTTGTGTTACAACCGTGTGCACAACTGAAGAATTAGTGGAATCTTTAAAATATACGCTATTCCGGTCAAGTTCTGACGTCCAAACTTTATTGAATTTAGTGTTGACTACCTCCCAGAAGTTAATCGAGAAAGCTGATTAGATACATTTCGTGCCAAACACTCCAAGAAACATTAGAATGCGTCACACCCACATTCAAATGTTAAAAAAAGAACCAGAAAGCAGGCTGTATGGGCATTGTTCCCTTTGCCTTCCCGAAAAGGGAGAGCGTTATAAAAATATATTATTATGGCGGTATCCTAAAACTTTGTTCGTAATTTTTTCAGAGTAATTCACAGAATCAGCTTGAATAATGGCTAGCGAAGCTATTTTAAAGTATTTAGTGGACACGAATCGTCCGTATTCGTGTGCTGACGTGACAGTGAATTTGCGTGGAGCTTACACGAAAACTGTGGTTCAGAAAACTCTGGATGCTTTGGCGGAAAGTGGTAAAATCAGATGTAAATTGTATGGTAAACAGAAGGTTTACGCTGTTATACAAGAAGATGTCAAGCAAAACGATGGCGACGTTGAAGGTAACATGGTTACTTAAAGGATTATATGAAGTACCATATTCTAAGTATTTTTTTACGTTTTCGTTAAATCAAAAAAATGGCCGTTTAGCAGACGCAAGGTTTTGGTCTAAAGTTTAATATAAAATCGAAATAAATTTTCATTTAGGGTTTTAATTAGAAAGTAAATTGATAACACATATGTAATCTACGAATAACTTATACCAATAAAATAAAGAGATGAAGAGAATAGACGACCTCCGTGGCCGAGTGGTTTGTACGCCGGGTTTCTAGGTGTCGCCTACTCGAGAGGCCCCGGGTTCGAATCTCGGTGGGGGCAGATGTTTGTGTGATAAATACAAGCATTTTTACTCCAGTCATGGATGTTTAATATGTATTTCTATATAAATATACTTATATAATATGTACAGTATTATATTCTATCCGTTACCCTAGCTAGTATTTAACACAAGCCTTACAGTGCTTACTTTGGGGCTAGGCTAATTGGTGTATGTGTTGGAAATATTTATTTATTTATAACTAGCTGACCCGGCAAAAGTTGTTTTGCCATATAAACTATTTCTAGGGAATTTCTAGCGTAGAATCAAAATGTAACTACTTATTGTAACTAACTTATTGTAAGATGATTAAATTACTAAAATAACTATTAAAAATAGGGGTTGGTGATAGAAGTGTGAAAATTTACGGTTGTATGTTTTTTTCTGTCGTATTATAAAAAAAAAAGTGTCCAAAAAATAAAAAACAAATGTAGGGGTGGACAATCTTTATCACTTAGAGGTATGAAAAATAGATAGTAGCCGATTCTCAGACCTACTGAAAAAGCATATAAAACTTCATTAAAAACGATCAAGCCGTTTCGGAGGAGTATGGTAACTAACATTGTGACACGAGAATTTTATATATAAGACAAGCTGTCCCAGCGAACTTCGTACCGCCATAAAAAAGGGGTTGGTGGAGGAAGGGTGAAAATTAAGGGTAGTATGTATTTTTGTATGATGTATCATAAAAACAAAAAAAATATGTCCAAAAATAATAATTTAAGGGTGGACCCTTAACATTGAGGGGGATTCCGATTCTCAGACCTAAAGAATATACATATAAGATTTCACGAAAATCGGTCGAGCCGTTTCGGAGTAGTTCAACTACGCACACCGTGACACCGGAATTGTATATATTAGAAGATTTTTTTAAAGTTTGTAGTGTAAGTTTGTACTAAATTATGTTTTTTTTTGCAGATTACGACAGCCAATACAAAACTCTGGCTCAATCTTTGGAAGATCTCAACAGCAAAGTCAAAACTGCCGAATCCAAGCTGAAAGTTCTCACGTCTGCCCCTACTACGGCATCAGCGCGAACCAAAATCGATGAGACTACGCTTAAAGTGAACAGTCTAGAGAGTAAATTGAACATTCTGAGAAACTCCACTGCAGTCATAAGTGTTGACGAGAAGAAACGAATTCTCGATGAGCATGATAAATTTCTTAGGGAGTATAGGTAAGTTCATCATCATCATCATCAGCCTATTAATGTCCCCACTGCTGGGGCACAAGCCTTCCCTATGGATGGAATAGCGAGATTGAGCCATGACGCACCACGCGGGCCCAGTGTGGATTAGTGGGTGCTAACGACTGCTGATGATTTTTGGTCACCCATCCAATGACCGACCACTGCGAAAGTTGCTTAACTGCAACGATCGCGGCCGAACGCTAACCACCTGCGCCATCGAGCTCCTCGCTAGATGTTTAGGGGCGGATGCAGTGACCATTATCCTACCGCGGCTCTGATGGCCCTGCCCAATTTTCTCTGCTACTAATTTTTGTTATATTTATAGATTATTCTTTCGCAGGAAACGCAAAAGAATATCCACGGATATCTTGGAGGCTGTCCTAGAAGGATATCCCAAATCGAAAAAGGCACTAGTCGAGGAGCTTTGCATCGAAACCGATGAGATGGTCGACTTCAAACTCATGGCGAATACCTGATAACATAACTATGCATAATATTAATATTTATTTAAAAATGTAATAAAGAAATGCTTGTGATAAATACAACTGTGAACGAATGAGATTTTATTGTCCCAGTATTGTCTTCGTATTCTTCGAATTTAGAATCTATCCACACCAATATTCTTATATAGCTTTTAACTTTAAAGTCCCCTACGCGGTACAAAGTAAGAAGTTATGAAATCGCTTACGAATTTGAGTTTCTGGATATGCTTAAGAGCCCTTTCACATTTATGCAAAAATCGTTTTTTTTTTGAGCGCCCCGTTTACCGCTTTAGTAAAGATTTTGACTATTTCCAATAGAAGTATACAGTGGATTCATTCTTATTATTGTAGGTTAGTGTAGAATATTTGCAAATACTATTTTCTTTTTTTTTGTAACGATCGTTCTACTGCAGCTAGTTTACAGAAAAAACGATAATATGCACAACTTCAAACGCCTCAATCTCTCAATAATGTTCAATAAATTAGATCAAATTAATTACTATGACATCAGAAATATGTTTTTGTTGTAATATAATGTATTAGAATTTTGATTTTCCATCTCATTAAATAATCAAATCAAAATATCAATCATACATCAAATCAAAAATACATCTAACCTACTTACGTGAGTTTTCCCAAAAAATAATGCTGATTTACCTCGTATTTTGATATTGAATTAAATAGAATTACTATCAAAAACTTTCATAAAACTAATCTACCATCATCGAACTACTGAAATATGTATATATTTTTATAATTAGTTCATTAATAATTATTTTATAAGACATGAAACATCACCCGTAAAAAGCAAAATACTAGTGCAAACGCGCCGATCAGTACGGCAGCGGCGCAATTTAGTAAAAGGGCTCTTAACACTTCACTCACTGTGTATGGCACTATTTACTTAATTGTATGAATATAATAAAGTAGCATTGACATTGGTGTCATATCTGGCAGGTTTATCTAAACTTAAAACTAAATTCTACACCAGTCTTTCCTTTTCGTTCTGTATAGAGAATGACAAGGATACACTGTTGTCAAATTTAAGTTTAGGTTTAGCTAATCATGCCAGAATTGACACCAATAGATAACAAAAAAAAATATGTTCTTAATACAATATTTAGGTTTTTTTATCATAAGACTTTGTACGGGAACCGATGACGCCGGCTCGCTTCCGCTACTCTTCCACCTAATAGATAAATAGCCAATCAAACAACGCGACATCAAACAATCGAACCAATCAGCGCTCACACCCGAGAGCAACGACGCAATCAGAACCAAGTTTTTGTCAAGTCCGCATTTGCTCATACATTACTGTGGCGCGCCTGCCCCGCCCACAAGGCCCTTCTAACTTCTTTTTGTGTTCTGTGATGAATACAAACCCTGGATTCGATGATCCCAGCGCTGGATATCCTTTTCCTGGGCCCCAATGAGCAGCTTGTACCGCAGGTTTACTTTTAACTCAAACCAAGCTATGCCCTCATCAACAGCCCATCTTAGTCCACTGCTGGACATAAGCCTCTCCAAATGCACGCCACTCAGATCGATCTTAAGCTACTCGCATCCAGGTTCTGCCCGGGCATCATGCCTGAGGACGTCCTACACTACGTTTGCCTAGACGTGGTCTCCACTCCAGAACTAGTCTACCCCAACGGTTATCGGTTCTTCGGCAAATATGGCCAGCCCACTGCCACTTCAACTTGCTAATCCGGTGTGCTATGTCGATAACTCTGGTTCTCTGTCGGATTACCTCCCTAGATCGTAAGAGGTTAATGTACTAGTAAGTATGAATACAAACCCTGGATATGATGATGCCGGCAATGGATATCCTTATCCGGGGCCCCTTGAGTAGCTTGTACCTCAGGTCGACGCCGTTCCAGAACGACACGAAGTAGCGTTTGATCTGGACGTTGTCGCCACCATGCAATCTGAGGACAAGCGAATTGATGATGATGAAAATAGTATAAGGAACCTAAATAGTCTGGACAAGCAAATAAATAAAAAATGGCTTGCCTATAGACGCATCGTAACGTAATAGATAGTGGAGCGCTTACTTTATTAAAAAAAAAAAAACGACGGGTTGCACTCCGGGAGTGCCGGCAGAAGTGAAAACTTGAATATTAACGTTGTGCATTTTTAATATTTTGGAATGGTTAGAGAATAATTTTGCACGAATTGCTTTAATTACCAGTATAAAAGTACTATCATGTATGTGGTAGAATACAATATTTATTTATTGCGCTATCGTACACAAACATGACAATTTATATTATATTAAAAAAGCTTATCTCTCAGAAAAATCAGCTTACATGAATCACGTTTAAGCGCATTTATCGACATCTATTGTGAAGAAATCAGCTTACATGAATCACATTTAAGCGCACCTAGCGACATCTATTGTGAAAAAATGGATTTTCTTCGCAATAAAGCTGCCACATGAACGTCCTAGATAGATACTTATTATTATAATACGGTAAAATAAAATATTACTATGTTTCGTCCAATATATTGAAAGTCAACAACCTTTCCAATTTTATTGTGTGTCATGATGCGATCAGCCCACGTGTTTAAACTGACGAGAGTTTAAGATTTTTTACCCATAGAAAAAAAGTGTACAACGTCGCTAAAGAAGTTTTCACTTCATAAATACCTAACTATACTCTATTCTCGGAAATGCAAGATAGTGGAGAAATTCCTTTATCACACAATCGTTTGTAAGAAACAAGGATAGAACTGTGTCTGAAGCGGGTAGGCCACGACCTGCCGTAGACAGGAGTATTGATTGATATATATTTTGGCATTTAATTGCTAGATGTTTAAATCTTAATAAAAAAATTAATAGAAAAAAATTCACTTGGACTCGGGTGGATGCACTGACAGTTATGCTACCACGGCCCTAATGCTCAGTGTATTCGCCCGGATAGCGGATGGTACGGGTTCCGGTCTCGTCTGCTACGTGGTCCGTATAAAATTAATTCCAGTAAAAAAAAATATTTTGCTCAAATATTACCTGTAACCATCATAGTCGACTATGACCAATATCTCAGGGTATATGACATAGGGTGCGTCTCGCTTGCTCCTGGAGTGTGATGCAGCCGAGCGTTTCCTTCTAAATCTCTTGCTTAGGTGGTCAGGCTCCATAAACGCTGAAAACATAAAAAACATCTATGTAACTATTATTTTCATATATTTTATATTAGATTATTTCTTTGATGTTTAAATCTAAAGAAAATATGACTAGAAAAAAATCCACGCGGACCAGCATAATTATAGCATACTTGGTCAGTGCATTCGCCCGGATTGCGAAGGGTGCGGTTTCCGGACCAGCATAATTATGGCATAATTGGTCAGTGCATTCGCCCGGATTGCGAAGGGTGCGGGTTCGAGTCCCGTCTGCTGCCTGGTCCGCGTGGAATTTTTTCTAGTCATATTTTCTTTATACTTAATATTTGGTTGACGACCTCCGCGGCCGGATGGTTTGAACGCCGGGTTTCAAGGTGTCGGCAGATGTTTGTGTGATGAATACCAGCATTTGTACTCCAGTCATGGATGTTTAATATGTATTTCTTTATATATATGTGTGTATCAGTATATATATTCTATCCGTTACCCTAGTATCCCATAACACAAGCCTACAGTGCTTTAAGACTGGACTGATTGATTTTTTTACTGTAATTCTTCTGTAAAACTTTTCTTTTTTACTGTAAAACTTCGCATTTATGAATGTAATTTTTAATGTACCTATTACAAATGCTCGTATTCATCACACAAACATCTGCCCCCACCTGGATCCTTTGAGTCGGCGACACCTTGAAACCTGGCGTACCTACATACCACTCAGCCACGGAGGTCGTCAAATCGTACATTGTGTCGAATATTGCTCTAATGACGGTTTTCCCTAACGCAGACATTCGCGAAATAAAATTATTATTAACTTCATTCGGAATAAATAAGAATATAAAATGTCAAATGACGTAAGCAAAACTCAACCTTATGACCCCACGATGTCTCTGCAATAAAGTCTGCGTTCAGTACAACTTTGTTGTTTTTTTTATTATACCTATCTAATCTCTATCGTTTTTTTCTCTCTTAACATATTCATATCCATTTTATAATGTGCAGAATCTGCATATTTTATGGGTAGTTAGTATACAGCCTTTGTAAAGGTTTTATGTTATAAAATAATGAAAAATAATCTGATTGGATAATAATGAGGCATTTTATAATTCATTAATTAATTCTAGACTGCAGAATGGAAAGTTTAGGATAAAAAGAAAGATGATATCACGTATGAATTAACTATAATAATATTGGTGACAATTCTGGCATGATACTCTAAACTAAAAACACCAGTCTCTCCTTTTCATTATGTGTAGAGAATGTTAAGGATATAAACTGTTGTCAAATTTAAGTTTAGATTTAGAGAATCATGCCAGAAGACACCAATATAAAGCGTCTTATGCAAGAATCGATAATCAGATGGGTTGTCAGAGGTCGTTTTCAAGTCACAGTTTATGTACTGTGATTATGTTCAATGGAAAGAGCTTTTTATTTTCTGTGTTTAATAATATCAAAGTTCATTTGGACTTAAAGACAGATTTGAAGCTGTACTTTAATGCAGCCGCTTAAACACAGCTTCAAATAAGTCTTATACTTAATAAGAATACATCGGCGTTAAGGAAAACCGAGACGGTAGAAAGGTATTGGGCAAAATGACTGTAATCGATCTGCTGATCAATAACTGCGTTACATTTTGGAGATAGGTGATAATTAAACACGATTAATTTAATTCAAATAATCGTAAAAAGTTTCTAAACGGTTCGTTTATTAACTTCACAGTAAGACTCCTCTCCTCCTTCTCAAGCTATCTATGATACCTTGAAGAGTAAATTTTTTTGCTACATCAACATTAAGGTCGACGGCTATCATGCAGCCACATAATTCCAGATAAAGTTAACATTAGAAGGGGTGGGTAAATTTGCTGTGCCCCGCTTAAAACATGTATACATACCTAAATTAATTTGTAAAGTCGTAAAATAAATAGATCGACAATCGATATCTATAATTTTGTATCATTTTCATCCTTATTTCATACAAGCCTTTACCCACAGACTATTAGATGCTTACGCATTTACCGCGCGCATTCATTATTTGGGTATTGTTCTCGTGTACCTATATAGCAGGCTTTACATTTAGGGTTGCCATTTCCTAAAATACAAAAGCTTGACGCGGCGATTGTAGCTGATTTGTCCCTTCAAATAGACAATTTATCTTCCATTTCGTCCTCGGTATCGCGATATATTGAATGCGAGTATCGCATTGTACAGAATAAGAGGCAAAACGAAAGCTAGACCTAACAAATTATTTGGCTAAACACGACAAAAAAAAGTCAAATAACTTATAATGTATGACAGATAGGCTGTAAGGACTATTATCGTCAGTTAATAGGTAATAATAATTATGCACTGCTTTATCGATAAGTATTACGTAGGCAAGTTGACAATTTACAACTTTGCTGTGCGGCCGGCATCGATGTACACCGGAGGCCATTTTGAATATATTGACATATACACCTTTCGCGCCATAATGCGAGTCACGTTTCTTTATACGTCACGTGTTTATTATTATAACAAGTTCAAGAACAAAGTTGAAATCCAATCGAGCTAAGATTCAACGTAGACCTGACGAAAGGCTGCGTGACATTCTTAACTACGATTTAGATACCGATACCAACCTACTTTTATTAAAGAAGGTTTTATTAAGAGTTATCACATATTTGTGATAACTCTTAAAACAGTAATTTATTATTCATACAGGTGTCTACGATTGAGTTTTCTAAGGTAGCAAGAATTTATAAATAAATAAATAGTTTGATCGCAGATTCGTATCAATCGGTCGAGTAAACAAGGATTGCGTATCAACCAGTGGGTTTGATTTCCAGTTACCAGAGGCCCGAGCATAAATTTTGCTGCGTAATCGTATCGCATCGTCAACGTTTCTATGAAAACTTAGCAGCGCTCCTATCGGACGCAAGATCAAACTAGCTTATGAAGTGAAACTTCTTTTCGGGTGTAAATGGGTAAATATTATAGAAAAGATGGACCGGAAATGCGTCACGCGCATCACACGACTATATATAGAAATATATATAGGTATGTGTATGTGTGGGATGCGTGCGCAGCTCTTCCCGACGAGCATGAAAGTTGGAGGGTAACTAGGCGAAGACTGAAATGCTACATATATAATACATACATATATATGAATGATGCGTGCGGTGTTCCATGCCCCTATGCCTTATGCACCGCCCAATGTTAGGTAATTTAAGAAAACAAGTTACCTACACTTCAGATGTGTGGTCCGTGCACACTAATTTCTTCCATAGATACTAAATTTCACGACGACAATACGATGACAGAGCTGTCAAAATTCGTGCTTGGCAAGGGCGGATCCAGGGGGGGGGGGGTTCATGACCCCCCCCTGGGCTGGGCTACCGACTTCACAATCTGTACCCACTGTGACCTGACCACGACTATTTGACCCCCCCCTGGTGCCAAATCTGGATCCGCCCTTAGTGCTTGGGTCTATGATCGTAATTACTAATTTAACTCATTATAATGATTACTTAGATGTAAATCTACCATTATTAAATTATCCGCTACTGTAATAAGCAAATTAGCGAACAAAATGTAGAAGTGGCTGACGTCGTAGTTGGCCGTGAACTGAAGAAAATCAAGATTAACATAGCGCATAGAGTTTTGGCAATACAAATATTTGACATTGGTATATGAGGCTAGTTATATCATAAAGAGCGTAGTGTGGTTTACATAACGATTTACTCAGGCAAATATTGGACTGATCCAGTAATTAAAAAGTGGGTTATTGAGGCAATCAGCTCAAATGTCTTCGATAACACAATATTATGTGACACCAAAACACCGATATTGTTTTATAGAGCCTTGATGGCGCAGCGGTCAGCGCTTGCGGTCTGCTGTCGTGGAATTTATGCTCCTTTCGCAATGGCCGGTCCTCGGATGAGAGACCAAAAATTTAATTACTAGAGCTCCTCCGTGCTTCGGAAGGCACGTTAAGCCTTTGGTCCCGACTGCAATTCACACATTTTTTAGCTACTTCTTAAAATTTACTTCTCTAGGCGGGCACTCCAATAAAGCGAGCGAATCTTTTAATATTTTGCGAAAATAACCTCTCATTCTTTTTGGTGCGTAAATAATGTAAGGGGCGGCAAGATTTTACAATTATCATTGTTTAAAATAAACGTTGTCTCGAGAGGGAAAGGAAGCTAAGGGCCTCCAGAGACGTCGTCGAAGAAAAGAGGTCCAATCACGAATTCGTTAAAGTTTCTATAAAAATTAAACAGCGTCCCTATCGGACGTAAGAACAAACTAGCTTTTTCCATACAAAAATTGACGAAGACTATACAATTACGGAACTGTTCGTGCTTGTGGCTCAGGAGACCAGCTAAGACTAACATTACGGCGCTGAACGCAATAAGTACGTTATTTTCGACACCCGAAGCTTAGATTAAAACAAAAAGGGAAGATACGGCATTCGCGGCTCAAAAGTGATCCGCTTAAATTGTGGTCCACGACCATAATTCGCTTTAGTTACAATTTGACATTCAATCACGCTGCATGTACACCAATATAACAATATTGCGTAAATTCTGTGTTTTTCTGTTATATCTATTTATTGTTATATCTGAAGTTATAACAATGCCTTCGATGCTTTTATAAAGAACACAAATAGTTCAAAATCAAATGCCCCGGCAACACTTTTCATTCGGAAAAATTTGAAAACATTTCTTCTCAAAAATCACGGTTTGTCGTGAATATTAATTACGTAATCCCCATTTTGTAAGCAAGAAAAGTATAACAATACGCTGCGTTGAAGCGTATAGTTCTGTCTCGCTCGCTCGATTGATGAGATGAGAGTTGCTTATGTAGTTGAGTCGGATCATATTTTATTTGATGCTAGTATGAGCGTACCGTATCTACCCTTTTTGTTTTAATCTAAGACCCGAAGTTGAAGAACCGTAACGCACATCGCAAACAACGCTAACTTGATTATTATTCAAACGACATTATATATCTCACTTCGCGTGATATTAATTTGAAATTTTATTGATTGTGACTCGCGTATCGATTATTTCGATAAATAACGATCGAAATTAATATGCACGAGATGGATCGAACGATAAGAAACGGATAAATTCGTTTGATTGTTAAGTATAATTTCATCGTTTTTTATAACAACATAAGTAATCCTTAATATTAAAAATAAAGCCGGGTTTCCAGCAAAACTTTTTTGAAAACATTTAACAAAAACACATTCACAAAACTTTGTTTCTGAAACATGTTTCTCTGTAAACGCCGTCTACTGCTCGGTCGTACTTTAAAAAGGTAAGACACTGAAGTCGATTCTGGCATGATTCTCTAAAGCTAAACTTAAAATTGACAACAGTGCATCCTTGTCATTCTCTATACAGAATGAAAAGGAGAGACTGATGTTAAATTTAGTTTTTAGTTTAGAGAATGACGCTAGAATCGACACCACTGTTACACTAAACCATGTTTAAGAAAATTTTGTACTTAGTTTTGACATTATCTAGTTTATCCCTTGTTGATCGCCCGACTATTTAACTTTTTTGTTATTAATACACATGACTTATTATCTGTAAAATAAATAGGTATGTACGTACATATACCTACACTCTTGTATTCTATAAAGGCAAATTACGCAGTCTACCTATTATACAGTAGTAAATCAGCATATTGTACGTAACTTCAAGAAGACAAACAAACTGACGTCAATTTTATTTATCTCTTAATCGATATCTCATACAACTATATCTATATATATTGATCCTACTTCACGTGCGATGCCCCAGGCACGTGCTTTGCGCCCGCGCATCCGAACAATTGATAATGTCATCATCTAAGAAAACATTAGAAATAAATATAATCTCATCTCATCATCAGATAATATCTATTAATCGTTTAAACGACATGCTGATCGCCACGGTTTCCGCGTGAAAACAATGAGTTCTTACATGGTATTGAGGTTTTAATGGTGTTTATTCAAATCTTTTGCGTTTGTGGCTTGTCATTTGTCACGATATTAGACATATGACACTCGCACTGAATGCGCATTTCATAATGTACATATATTGGTACTTAAATAGTGATTCCTGCATTTTTTTTTTATTATAACTAAAAATATTTTTCAACTCCCAACTAATGAGAATATATAGCTCCAAATACAGAACAGTACCCCTAGCACGAACCAAAATCGAATTCGTAATGTTTGCGAGTCCGAAATGTCATTGTCAAATGTGTACTGATTTTTAGTTTTCGTTACGTTGAAACTGGCGCTGCTGTTCAAGTTTCCATACAAAATTTGACATTGACAATTCGGTATGCAAACTATTCGAATTGGAAAAGCGTTAGCACGTTAGGCCGTATACAGAAAGAAAACCGATAACCTTATCGGCGCCGATCCTTCCTACATAAAGGAAGCCGATTAAAGCAGATCAAGCAAAATGTCGGACTCATCGGACGATGATTTGGTTTTGTTAGAAAATGTTTATTTAAAAATGCGAAAAACAGCTATACAACCTATAAATAGAGAAAGGAAACGTTTCGGAGAATACCATCATTTATTTGTAAAAAAAATTAAATTTGATGAACAAAGATTTTATACATATACAAGAATGATTCAAGAAACATTTTATTACATTTTGGATTTAGTGAAAAACATTTGATGAAAAATTGGGACAATTGGCATAAACAACCAATCCTTCCAGAAGAAAGACTTGTTGTCACCATTCGGTAAGTACGAAACAAATAATTTTAGCGCTTAGTTAATAAAAGATAAAGTTATTAGATTTATAAAAAGATTATAACTTATATTGATTTAATTTAAGGATAATAATTCAAATACAAATTATTTATTATTCGGACCAGCGCGTGTCGGCGCTTATCGGCGCTTATTGTCCGATGAGTCCGACATTTTGCTTGATCTGCTTTAATCGGCTTCCTATATGTACGAAGGATCGGCGCCGATCGGCTTTCGGCTTTCTTTCTGTATACGGCCTTAGGCTTGTGTTACGGCATTAAGTAACAGAAATACATATTATTATAATAATACATACTTATATAAATATATTATAATGCAAACATATACTCGTAATATGTATAAGTAACAGCCATGATACTCGTATTCATCATACAAATCTTTGCCCCACCGGGATTCGAACCCAAGTCCTCAGAGTAGGCGATACCTTAAACGTTTTAATAGAGGTAGAGTATAGCGGATTTTCCGCTCAAATAGTAACGTCCATCTGGGGAAGCAACCTTCACTTTACAGAAGAGCACAATAAAATAGCACTACTTTGGTAGTGTTGTATTTCTGCTGGTGAGCAGGATTCCAGGGTTCCGCGGGGCTCCGGGGGATTGGGGTCTTCATATTCCATCTCCACAGCACACGCACAGTCGGGCGCGTCAGTGTGGAGAGAGAGCGAGTGAATAAGCTGCTTAAGCTTTCTTCTCAGTCCTCTCGGGAAGGAGCAAAGCCTCGTCGTTGCGTATGGCCAGCTGGAGATGTCTAGCGATGATTCTAGTCTTCTTGTTGTCGCGAGCGGCGTTGCCTGCCAACTCGAGAACCTCAGCGGCAAGGTACTCCATGACGGCCGTCAAGTAAACGGGGGCGCCAGCACCGACACGCTCCGTGTAGTTGCCTTTACGCAGCAGCCTGTGTATACGTCCGACGGGAAACTGGTGACCGGTTCGGTTAGAGCGAGACTTGACCTTCCCCTTGACTTTGCCGCCTTTACCACGTCCCGACATAACGGAGGTTAGTTGTTTTAACGCGAACGAAAATAGGACACGGAGAGACGAGCGTTAGCGCGTCTCTGCTGTAAGCGGAATCGGGGATTGGGGTCAGGCCGGCAAGGAGCGGCATACTTTCTGCCGCATCATCTATCTTCGCGACTGGACACCACTTACACTTAAGTTCAGTTGAGGTAAGGCAATTTATGCACCTCGTAATGAAAAAAAGTGGTGTACATCAGCCAATGATGATAAAATGAAGATGTATTGTTCATGCTCACCATAATCGCCAAGGTGATCATCGGAGGCAGGCTCTCGCTTGATGATAACGTGCCGGGCGCCGTTCAGTGCTCGCTGCAACAGCTGCTGGTCTTCCCGCTTCCTTTTCACTGAAAATAAATAATAGCAAATTGGCAATTGTTGAATTTTACATTGAATTTAAATTGGCAAAAATTAATCTATTTTAATAATTTGTATTCCTTTTGTAAATAAAAGGAAAGTAACATAATTAGGATAGTGTTGATGCTGGCGTGATTCCCTAAACTTAAAACTAAATTTAACATCAGTCTCTCCTTTTCATTCTGTATAGAGAATGACAAGGATACACTGTTGTCAAATTTAAGTTTAGCTTTAGAGAATCATGCCAGAATCGACATCAAGGCCAAAGTATACTTGTTCATTCAGTCTTAAATCAAATACTTCATTCTTCACTTCACTTATAAACTTGTCTCACTTTGTATTCTGCTGTGCTAGAAGTCAGTCTCGTATCAGTTTCCTAGTAAAAATATATTTCACAGAATATAAGTATCATTCGTCACTGTGATTCCGTATTTTATTCAGCTCCTCTGACCTATAAAATCTACAGCAATAATATACCTATAATATTATATCCATTCTCTTACTGTGATTTCGAAAGTAACATTGCGTCGTTGGCAAACCAATTCTGCTATGTACGCAGTCTTAGGGGTTAGTGCAACACGATGATGACTCACTGATCGGACGGGTGGTGTCTATGGTGACCATGTCAGTTTGACCGGGTTCTCATCATCATCTCATCGTTCTGCGTGACCACCGTCATCGAGAGCTAGATTTAGAGTTATTAACAGAGAACAGATGGTTGTCCTGGCTGACTTCAACGCCAACAAGCGAAAAATTTGTCCGAGGGATGTATGCCTTTGTCACCCCGCTCGATCGTAACTGGAAAAACATCCTCGCAACGAGCAATAAAGGCACCGTTTCACAGCTTCGCTTCCTTGGTCCACTCGTCTTCCTAGCACATCTGGAAACGCAGCCTCAGGGATTAGTGGAAGATGATGATGACGACTCACTGTCTTCTTAGCAAATCTCAGGGAACGCAGCCTTAGAGATAAGAGCAAGATGATCATTGTTGGTGACAACTCACTTTCTTCCAAGCATATCTCTGGTGGAAACTTATCCTTAGAGATTAGTGCACCTTATAACAAACACCTTTGTAATATAGGTATTTCTGACAGCCCTCTGTGCAGAGCCTGCCTTGAGGACGAGGAGACGAGCGCCCATGTACTCTACTGGTGTGCAGGGGCGTTGCAAGACAAAGGACTTCTCTGATGGGAAGCCCGAAGACAATAGTAGAGGTCTGCAGCAACATTCGGGGACTGCAGACCTTTCTGGAGGAGCTGGGATGGTAGGACTGATGCCAATCCCCACGCAAAATAGGCACTGGGTGTCGAGTTGCGGAAACAGCCCGTCGTTCTACTAAGACTAAGGTATTAGTGCAAGACGATGATTGGTGGTGACAACTCACTGTCTTTCTAGCACATTTCTGGTGGAAATTCAGCCTTAGAGATTACAGGTTATGAGATTAGTGCAAGATTGGTGATGATGACTCACTGATAGGACGGCCGGTGTCTATGGAGACCATGTCAGCCATGCTGGCCGGGTCCAGGAACATCTCGTCGTCTTGCGCGGCCGCCGTCATGGAGTCCGGGATCGGCCGGATCACCAGCTCGTGGCCTATGGAGCCCTCCTGCAACAAAAAATTAAATAAATAACTCCTACACTCACACCAATTAGCCTAGCCCCAAAGTAAGCGCTGTAATGCTTGGGTTATGGGATGCTGCGGTAACGGATAGAATACATAATAAACTGATACATATATAAGTATATTTTAAAGAGAAATTCTTATACACATCCATGATCAAGGTCCACTTTAACTAAAACTAGATATGTTATATATAAAATTCTCGTATCACAATGTAACTAACATTACCATACTCCTTCTTTCTCTCCCGAGGTATTGCGGGAAACCTGCAGACGTGCGCAGATAGGCCCGCGCGTGGGGGCTATGTACGCGGCCTAGTGCCCACCGTACCTACCCCCGTCCGTTTCGGAGGGCTTCTTGAGCGTATCCGTCCAAGCAGCCCTCCGCCGCCCCCCTTGTAGGACAAAACTACAAGAGGGGGCTGCCGTTCCTGGGAGGGGGAACGGGAGCGTAGTTCTTCCCGTCCCTCTCCCCTCTCCCGGTCACCCACGTCTCCTAGCGTCCTCTCCTAGGCGAAGAAGTACCCCGTGGAGCCCTGGAACCTTACTCATCGACAGAAACACAACACCACCAAAAGGTGGTGTTACCCATTTTACTATGATCTTCTGTAAATTGGAGGTTACTTCCCCAGACGGGCGCTCCAATTTGAGCGGTAAATCCGCTATGCCCTACCTCTCTTTAAACGTAGCGAATAATTTGACACGAAAATTAAAGCTGAAGGAATTGAAATATCAGTTGCAAGTTTGTGCGAGAAACAACTACATTGCGCAGACGCAGGTCGCGGGCGCCCTCCTCTAAAAGTATCCCATAATCTTTTTAATACAAAAACAATTATAAGGTCTCACCTCCAACCAACATTGTGGTACGTATTGAAAGAAAGAAAGGAACAAGAGAGTTAGGTCGTAAAACTCAAGTAGTAAAACGGTGTTATTGCACCGTAAAAATACGTTTTTATAGCGTAAACACGTTATTGTCATTTTCCTCCTAAAATAAAGAGTATTCTTTGACCTTTTCGCTCGACACTCTGGGACCCTTCTTAATTTCAATGTACAAAAACATGCTGTCACAACATTATAAATTATGGACGATTCACACTAATTCACTTACAAAACGGAATTAATACGTATTTTTTGTTAAACTTCTAAAAGCCATCTACATTTTAAAATTTGGTATTTTAAGATTTTGTTTTAAACAACGCTTAGAAAAAGGCGGGTTTTTATAGCATTTTAATTTGTTTAAGTGTTTGTTTTGTATATATATGTTTCATTTATGAATAAGTAACAGAAATTAATAATTCTTCAAAGTGATATTAATGGCAAGTTGTCAGTTTTTACACATGATTTTATCCAATAAAAAGATATTTTACTTCAAATTTATGTTCATTTAATGTTTCATGAAATTATCATTAAGTTGTTTTACTCGATTGGAAATAATGTGATACCTATACTATTATGAACATATAACATGCAATCTGCTAAAAATCTTTTCAAATCAAATAAAATCTTAAATATCAAATCCTGCGTACTACTGATTTTTTTTAATCGAAAATATTTTGACATATTTATGAATTTTTCTGATAATAAAATTGTGTGTAAGTTTATCATAATAGGGGTGATGACGGGGTACAGTAAACGAAATTCTATTTAGTCCGTCAGTTAGATGATCAAAAAATAATGGACACGTATTTTTTCTTTGGGCAATCAACCAAAAAATGACAAAGTTAGAGCGCGTCAAAGTTTGGGAGTAGGGGCTCGTGACGTCACTTTTGTGTGAATTTTCACTTATAAGTGTAGGTACTCAAACGTGACGTCATGCGACTTTTCAAATCAATATATCCCTGCAATGTTTATATTATGTGAAAAAAGAAAAAATACGTGTCCAATACTTTTTGATAATCTGCCTGATAAACGAAGAAAAAAAATTTAGTCATCATCCCTATTATAATATGTCCCATTAACGTGTCAGTGATTATCTTATGAAATGTTGTTTTAATTCCATCAAATGTAATTTTAAATTGACATTCAATTAAGTGATCTCATCATTTTGGGTTCAAACTGAAAATCAGTGATTTAGGTCCGTAATACAGAATGACAACTAAGTGTTGATCTTGACTTGAGTACAGTTAGAAAGGGATGTCGCTATGTGCTATATATAGCGACATCCCTTTCTAACTATGCTCAAGACTAGATCAATCACTGAGAATCTTTCTATAATACGGGCCTTACTCTCTGAGTGAATTTATGCTGAGTTTTCGCCCTTTCGCATCGCAGCTGCCGACAATATCACAATAATTATAATGTTTGGTGACAAATATGATTTTAAAATTTGTGTTTTTTGTCAGATTTGTACGTGTGCATGTTGGTGCTAATAAAGTTTTTATTTATCTATCTATCAATCTCGCTATTTCAGGCCCCTTAATTGGACGTGCTTTAACTACAATAATTCCTTACTTTGAAAAAAAAATGTAAAAAAAAGCCATGGAACATCCCATACCTATACCAGATAATAGCAGCATGATCGTTTCGTCTCTCACTAACTTATCTGCTACCACAAAATGATAGTACAGGAGCTCTATTTTTGAATCACTCGTCTTGCGTCGAACGCTCGATTTCTACTAAATTTCATTCGACATAATCAATTCCGTATTTTTGAATCGCTCGAGTGCAACGAATGGGTGAGACCACTCGCTGCATGGCGAATGGTGGAGGCGAATGATAGAATAATTGTCAATTTTTTTATGCTATTAGACGACGATAATCTATTAATGGTGTCGATTCTAGCATGATTCTCTAAACCTAAACTTAAATTTGACAGCAGTATATCCTTGTCATTCTCTATACAGAATGAAAAGGAGGGACTGATGTTAAATTTAGATTTAAGTTTAGAGAATCACGCCAGAATTGGCACCATTGTCATGCTTTATATGAAACGACAACGAGAATTTTTGTTCGGTTTTCATTGCGGTAATTACCGGTTTTTATTTTTCTGCGTGAACTGACTAAAATTTTATATTTCGTACTAAACAGGTAACACCGGTGACGAATGATTTAAAACTACGGAAAATCAGTATTATGCGACTTGAAAGTCGAAGGTGACTTATGTCGCATTCGACGATACTATGTCAGACGAGTTATTCAAAAATAGAGCTCCAGAACGTTATCTACATAGAAAATGCGCTCGAGTAACCAACACATAGACAGCGCTTACGTACTAAATAAACAACACAGGGAGGGGATCAAAAACTAGCGAAAATAGTCTTACGTAACAAATGAATGGCTCCTGAAGTAAGTACATACACGAGATTTCCTTCTGTACTACATATATCTATTTTGTGGTTTTACTTTAGAACAAGACGGGGAGAAGCCAGCCATTCTCTCTGTAGCTACACCCAAACAAACACTTTTAGTGCCAAGACATGACACGAACCGGCCACTCAGCGCTAATGAGTTGTAGCCACAGATTAAACACTCTACCGACAACGAACAATGGCTCACAAGTAGACTGAGGTCGGTTGCACAATGGCCCAGCCTCTATTGTGGCCGATGAATGCACGGCGCATAGGTATTTTGTGACGGAAAGATATCTTTACTTATAAACGGCTCACTTTATTTCTTGCGCCCATTCTTCTTCTTAAACATGCATGCAAAGTCTCAGCCCGATCGGTTTAAAATTGACAAGGTTTCATACAAACTTTCATTCCTTATTTTATCCCCTTCGGGGTAGAATTGATCAAAATCCTTTCTTAGCGGATGCCTACGTCATAACATCTACCTGCCCCTCTAGCATGACCACCGAAACGGGATATGATAAAGCGATATATCGACATTAACTGTCAGACTACTATGGAGTTTGACAGTAGTCTGACAGTTAATGTCGATTTTTCATATCCCGATTTGGTGGTCAAGCTAGAGGGGCTGCATGCCAAATTTCAGCCCGATTCGTCCAGTGGTTTGGGCTGTGCGTTGATAGATCACTATGTCAGTCAGTCAGTCACCTTTGAGTTTTATATATTATATAAGATTTAATGAACGAACGATTCAGACATAAAAGATATATCAGACGCAATAAAACAACTCAGCTAATGCGGTGCCCAATACCGTACCGAATATCAAGCACTGATACAACGACATATGATTAAGTATTGTCACGTACTAGAGATCTTGTATCTAAACTAATTACTTGCCATCGATCGGTCACATTGAGACGTGAGCGAAGTAGGAAGACAACACTAAATCAGGATGGCAACGAACATCTATTATTGAGTAAAGTTACGTCTTGGATCATGCATTGACTGACAATTGTATGTGAAGTATTTTGGACATTGGTGTCGATTCTGGTGTGATTCTCTAAACTTAAAACTAAATTTAACATCAGTCTCTCCTTTTTATTCTGTAAAGAGAATGACAAGAATACATTGTTGTCAAATTTAAATTTAAATTTAGATTTAGAGAATCGTGCCAGAATCGACACCATTATCTAATTCTATTTTTAAATTGGCGTACATTATGTGTGTCAGATGTGTCTTGGTCTGTCTGAAGTTAGAATGTAAAATTGTTTGTTTCTTAGGTTTTTACGCACATCACTCATTAAATAAAACTAGCCTTTCACGGGTTAATGCACGAAAATTTATTTATTGACGCAGCCTTTACAGCCTAGGTTCCGAACCTGGGGGTAATTACCCCTCCGGGGGTAAATCAGCCATACTTTGGGGTGTAACAAAGAACCTAATTATTTGGTCAAATCTAAATAATATTACTAAATAGAGCATGCGGTCCTTCTTGCTAGTGAGCCCGCGGGGTGCTGAGTGTGGAAAGCGGGGCGAGATTCTCTCCTGATGATGACATTAGTAGAGACGAAGATGTAGCGGCCAAATTGGAATTTCTTGGACTGATGATAATATTTTAAATTCGGGGTAAAATCTGTTTTCCTAATAGGTTACAGGGATAGCAGTATTGGAAAGGTTAGGTTACAGGCTGTGTCGTCGGAATCAATTTTTTATTTAATTTTGTCGAGCTACCTTCGAAAGACTTTTATTGAGCGTTCGGTTATTTCATTGTTCGATTTTTAAAGTTTTATTGTCTATATATGAATTTATTACTTATTTTGTTAATGAAGTACTTTATTTAGAAAATCTTTTTTGTAATTTCGAATTTATTTCAGCAACGGCTATGTTCATACCACTTCAGATCATTCAAGAAATATCAACAGACCGAACACAAAAAAACCCTTAAATAACAAATAACATTAAAAAAAATTTGGTAATAATAGGTTATTTTTAAAAAACTACCTTTTGATGTGCGCGAATTACAATTTCGTTTAGTTTAATGGAGTTTAGTGTGACTGGAAGGAATTTGTCATCACATGACAATAACGATGACTTTTTTTTTTATAGTTGGCCTTCAAAGGAGCATGTCGTAGGTTTTTCAAACTACATTCGAAAGTAAAATATTAGGTACTGACCACCACAAGTTTCCCGAGCTTGGGATGCCGTCTGATCAGCAGGGCTGCTCCGTTGGCCTCGTCCTGGTATAATTCTCCGAGTTCCTCTTCATCTTCCTGAAAATAAGAAAAAAAGACAAGCTAAGTAAGATTTTTTTTGAGTGTGTATGCTGTTGGTCGCAGATGACCTTTACAACGTCACCGGGCTTGGGGACGGCGAGATCCTAAGGGGACCTCAAGCCGAGTATTGGCGAGTGCCTCTAGAGGTATTCCAGGTGGATGGCATTTCCCCACGGGGGGAGTCTCCTCTCCGTCTGAAGCCTCTAACCTGAGGAGGTCGGCTTAACTAGAAGGCGTCTCTGAGACTCGGACCTCGGCTCTAGTTAGCCGTTGTCGTGAGGGGTTTTGTAAGTAAAGCGCTTATTCCACCTGACTAAATAATAATTCTGTAACAAAAAAATTAAACCGCCTAAAACGTAAAGATAATAAAGCCATGCATGTGTGAAAAGTGAAACTTCTTTTCGGCCGGGGTGTAAATGGAAAAATCCTGTGGAAAAGATAAAACGGAAATGCGTCACGAACGTCACACGACTATACATATATATGTATGTGTGTGTGTGTGGGATGTGTGCGCAGCTCTTCCCGACCAGCATGAAAGTTAGAGGGTAACTCGGCGAATGCAAAAACACTACGAGCGTCACACGCGACAATATATACAGGTTATGTTTTTATTTATTTTTAAGCATTTAACTGCTAGATGTTTAAATATTAAGTTATAAAAGTTTACTAGAAAAAATTCCACGCGGACCAGGCAGGGGACGGGACTCGAACCCGCACCCTTCGCAATCCGGGCGAATGCACTGACCATTATGCTACCACGGCCCTATTAGCCGTGTCGAAATTTTCCTAGCCTTAAGCTGCAAGGCAGCGCCATCTCTTCGCATTACGCGGCTAAAAGGGCCGTGGTAGCATAATGTTCAGTGCATTCGCCCGGATTGCGGGTTCGAGTCCCGTCCGCTGCGCTGCCTGGTCCGCGTGGATGTTTTTCTAGTAAACTTTTCTTTAGATTTAAATATATACATGTTGTTGTATTATATGTGTGTGGTCCGTGAACACATTTTTTTTAGTAATGATTTGAATAATAGTTTATCTTGTTTAATTTTGTCAATGGCGAAAACAATCAAATGGGTTCGAATCTAAGAAGAAACAAAATCATAATACAACTTAGATCATAATATGGTGGGAGTCCATAAGCCACGTGAGCTTAAGTGACGTGTCGCCCTAACATCCGGGCCGGTCAAGTTAGTAAGTTGAGTCTAAGTTACCGTCCTTGTGTATGCAAACACGTGTAAGGTGAGGAAATTGCTTCAAGCAAACATGTAAGTAGGTATAAGCAATTACATGCTATTTATTCATGTTACTAACTGGTACCTCTGACTGTCTATCTGCATAAAGTACTCGAACAAAATTTTGGATAAGTATATTGTTTTAAACTTTCATGGTCACTAACATTATAGTAATATAAGTTATTTACGGGATTGCTACCATGCACCTTGTTTTCAGCGATCATGGCCAGTTACTCCTTGATCATGGAGAAACTCGCTAAAAACAAGGTACATGGTAATAATCCCGTAAATAACTTAATATAAAACTCAAAGGTGACTGACTGACTGACATAGTGATCTATCAACGCACAGCCCAAACCACTGGACGGGTCGGGCTGAAATTTGGCATGCAGTTAGATGTTATGACGTAGGCATCCGCTAAGAAAGGATTTTGATCAATTCTACCCCCAAGGGTATAAAATAGGGAAAGAAAGTTTGTATGAAACTTTGTCAATATTAAACCGATCGGGCTGAGACTTTGCATGCAGGTATAAGAAGAATCATAGATGAATGTCATTGTGTATAATACAAGCCTGAGAACAAAAACTGTAGTCTACACTTCAGCTCTACACCGAAGCGAAGCGAGGGTGGGCCGCTAGTAACTTATATTACTATACAATTTTGAATACTTTTTTTTAGGGTAACTGCCCTATAATGTGTAACCTGGTGACAATTTTATTTATCATGGTCCTTTGAAAATTACTTAAAGGTTCCTAAGACTATTTTTCAACCCTTTCCTTATGAAAGGTGGTGTCCACTTTTGGCATAGTGGAATTTCCGCTCGAATCGAGCTGACGTCTGGGGAAGCATCCTCCATCTTACAAAAGACCTTTTGGTGGTGTTGTGTTTCTGTCGGTGAGTAAGGTTCCAGGTCTCCACGGGGAAGGGGACTGGTTCAGGGTAGGCAACGGTGCTAGTGATTTTTTTTTCGTAAATGACAAAAAAGTTGGCGCATAGGGCGGCTGGTTGAAATGTCGCGATAAAGAAGGTATGAAAACCGTTATTAAAGTTCTACACGTTTTAATCCGTGAAATGTTGTATTTCTTCTTGTTTATTTAAAAGTGAAGAAAAGTAATCAAATGGTTTTCATCATCATCAGCCTATTAATGTCCCCACTGCTGGACCACAGGTCTTTCCTATGGATGGAAAAGGAAGATTTATCCATGACCCATAACGCGGTCCCAGTACGGATTGGCGGGTGCTAAAGACTGCAGATGCAGCCGGGACCAACGGCTTAACCTTCCGAAGCACTGAGGAACTCAGGAACTCGAGATAGAAGATTTGTGATTTGTTTTCATACCTAACGGTATTTTCAAGTATTGGCAAGGTGAAATTTGCTAAAATGACTGCTTTAAGAATCATGTTTATGCTCATATATTTCGAGTTATAGCTACAAGAAAATCATTTTTGAAGTCTGCTAAAACTCCGGTATTAATGTCAATGACGCACATCATCAGTCATACTAACACAATATAATTTCATTCGAGTCTACAAACCATTTGTTTGCAAACAACACAGTTTAAATGAAAACGCACTGTTACTGAGAACTTAAAACAAGTAAAACAGTTAACAAAGTACCTACTATTTGTTTAAACAAATCTCCGTGTGTGTGTTTACTAATGTTGTAAAGCATTTTCAACGTTTTAGCAATTAATATGAACTTGGTTGTTTGTACGAAGTAATGTTTCCATGATCTCATAAATTCTTTTCTTAAAAAAATTAAAACAAATATTTGAATTTAGAATTTAGATATTATAATTTTGTTACTTCCAATCTGTTTTTTTTTAATTCACTAAAACCAAGTTATATAGTCAACAATAAGCCGCTTCATTCATGAAACATTTCCCACATTTTCTATTTAATTTCAAGTACCTATACTAGATGGCGCTACTTGTGTGTGGCATTGCGAGCAACAATCGTTCCTGCTTCGCTTTTATTCACCTTAAAAAGAATGACAGACACAATGAAACAATTTATTTTTATCCTCAATTAACCCGTAAAAAACTAGTTTTATTTATTGAGTGATGTGCGTGAAAATCTAAGAAACAAATATATCAATTTTGTTCTTCAAAAATATGAGAAAAGTAGAGAATGCTTTCACGTTCTGCCTATTGTATAGGTATTGTTAACAAATTTTATTAACACGTGACATTCAACGATAGTAGCATTTTGTTAGGACCTCACGTTTCGTTTTACGAATTCCAGTAACATTTACTCTGTGAAGGTTTTAATAAGTACGTCCGGATTGTTAGCATAGACAGTCGGAGCCGTAGGTATTATTAAAAATGTAAACCAATGGGCACACGCCACAGTCTGCCAGTTACCTACATTCTGTGGCGCAAATCGTAATGGTCACCGGGAAATATTAACAATCATGCGAGCCGATGGAGCGAAATAATTGCTAGCCGAAGTTGGTGTAGCAACAGCACACAGTAGATTTCGGCTAGACAGTAACTCGTTTTTCCTTGTCAGCCGAATTTTCTCTGTTCGAACTATAATATGTAAAATTTTGCTTATGCATATATATATTTATATAATATATTTTATTAAATTAAAAAATAAAAGTTATAAATCTCAATAATAATCTAACTCTCTTAATCTAACAGAAAATATCTCACATTATACATATTGTTTTTTATAAATCTATTCACATTCGTAGATATAATGCTCAACGTCAAATAAACGAATTTCCATAAGTTCCTAAAACTGCACCTATTTTGAATCGGTACTAAACTACTACAATATTTTTTATATAAAAAGTATGATGGAAAGCGGCTACGAATTGACGCTTGCGATACAAAAGTATTGCCTATCATGATCTTATCTTCAACATACCGCTGTACTTTGAAAATCTTCTTCACTGACAGAAAAACAGCACCATTACAGGGTTATGCAAGGAAATGGTTCAAAAGTGGTAATCGGTTTCTGGCAGCGACGAAACATATATCATTTGAAAGCTTGTTTTATATTATAACTTGAACGGATACTTTTAATTTTTTACCATCATCATCAGCCTATTAATGTCCCCATTGCTGGGGCACAGGCCTTCAAATCAATAACTATGGCAAATGATTTACAATTAAATGCACTACGTGTCATAAAAATTTGGAGACTGCCGGAGACTCACTACCATCCTCCAAACAAATTTCAACCGTGTCCTTTTAGTAATAGTTTTTAGTAAGGCGAATGTACACTAGATGAGCGCTTAAATGTTCGCGGGCCCATACGCTACGCCCTACTTACTCCTGCCTAAATTAGACAAAATTAATGTCATTGTTATCGTTTAAGATTTAATAAAGTTTGTATCTTATACATTGCGTAAAAAAATCAAATGGAATTGCTCAACAATTTCTGCAGTCAAGCTACTGACAATTCTCCTACTAGATACCAGTAAGTCGCCGACATAAACAAACGCATCGACCGCCGTTCACGCTATAAACTGTCACTGCTTACGTGAATGACGTCACTCGAAGCAAGATGGACGACATAGGAAGCAGCCTCGTCGCCTCATTTTATATTTTATTATATGTATAAATTATTTATTAATGAATTCAGATGATCTGCCTGCAAATGCAATAGAAGATGTTAACAAATCCTACCAATATCATAAATGTGAAAGTTTATATGCATTTTGCTTAATAACGCAAAAACGGCTTAACGGATTTTGATGGAGACACATACCCCCCTAATTAATAAACGAAAAATAAGCTTGGATTAGTCATATCATGTTTT